TGCAGGGAATGGTTAATACATACAAGGCCGCTGAGCACCAGACTCGTAAAAAGCAGCATATATCAGCAAGGAACAATGATTTTGATCGGTGAATTATGTGAACATTAAATTTTGTGTACTATAATCATGACATTTCTGAGTAAACAATTGTTTTAATGCTGTTTGCTAATGTTGTTGCCATAATGCTGCAGTAAAGAGTATGAGTAAGCTGTTGGCATGGACGTTTATTTCAAAAGCGACTGTAAACCCGAAGAGCAGTTCTTCAGCAGCAGTTCTTCAGTGATGCATCATACTAGCCAACATAACGAACATGTGAAACCTTCAGCGACGCATCATACTAGCCATCATGACGAACATGTGAAACCTTCAGCGACGCATCATACTAGCCATCATAACGAACATGTGAAACCTTCAGCGACGCATCACACTGGCCTTCAAAACGAGCATGTGAAGCCTTCAGCGACGCATCACACTGGCCTTCATAACGAACATGTGAAACCTTCAGCGACGATTTCGTACAAGCGTCGTCACACAAAACGAACTCCACAAGACGAAGAAAAAATATTCTTGGAACTTGTACAGTGTGCATAGCAACTTGTCACAGCACAGGAAGGTACAGGTAGTTTCTGGTCGGCGCCGAAATCTGGTGCGGTGAACGCAGGTAGCGGCGGTGAGGGAGGCTGGCGCCAGTAGTGCCAAGTACTGCAAAGTACTGCTCAGCCAGGCTATGGGCTTAGGAGCATCGGCGCAATGTGATCACGTCGCTCTGTTCCCGCAGCCAGGGTCGCACGTTACCATCAACAGAGAAGTGCTTATGTTGGCACTGCAGCAGAGGATGGCGGACATGTCAAGCAGTGCTGGGACACATCAAGCAGTGCTGGGACACATCAAGCAGTGCTGGGACACATCAAGCAGTGCTGGGACACAAGGAGCGTCTCGCTTGCTCGACGTATTGATCGCGCGAGCGCCGGAGGAGGAGGGCGAAGACAGGGAGGGGGTGAGAGGATGTGCTCTCAGACGAACACTTTTCTGAGACCACCGTCAAGAATCAAATTATATACTTCTCATGAATTGGGTTTCGAAAAAAGTTAATAAGAATTTCTCGCAGAGATTGCACCAAAATCATGATATATATCGGACATCGCAGGTAGTGCGCCTCATGTCAGAACAACGTTCACGCGGCGCTATTCTAATCGTCAAGTGTGATCACAACTGCCGTCCTAACGACCTGCACGCGCTCAAGACGTTCCCCTCGAACCCTCAGGGTCATGTACCCTCATTATTGTGCCCGGTATACTCGCGTGTATACCACCGTTGTAGTGCCACTATTTATACCCTCACCGTTGTACCCTTTATAATACCTCCGCTTTAGTACCCTACACCCTCGCTCTTTATTGTACAAACCATAAAGAATACTACACATAAATTGTGCTCTCTACCCTCTCTTCAGGGAAATTTCAGTCGGAATTTCTCAATAGTTGGTCGGTTATATAAATCGGTGTCCTCGAATTAACTCCCTACCGGGGAGCCCGTGCAGTTGTGAGGACTTAAATAACACCACAGAGACGAAGCAGGCGGCGAGTGCAGCTATCAGGGAAACGTCGGTGTCGCTGAGACTGAAATGCCGGAGACGTGGCCGTAGATAACGCGCCACCGAACAGCGCATTGTTAGCCACACGTTGCCACGGCGTTACACGGCGACCAGCTTGGCAACACGCGCGGAAACTCGGTTACACGAGTGGCAACTTGGCGACACGAGTGGCATCTTAGCTACACGAGTGGCAACTTGGCTACACGAGTGGCAACTTGGCTACACGAGTGGCAACTTGGCTACACGAGTGGCAATTTGGCTACACGAGTGGCAACTTGGCGACACGAGTGGCAACTTGGCTACACGAGTGGCAATTTGGCTACACGAGTGGCAACTTGGCGACACGAGTGGCAACTTGGCGACACGAGTGGCAATTTGGCTACACGAGTGGCAATTTGGCTACACGAGTGGCAATTTGGCTACACGAGTGGCAATTTGGCTACACGAGTGGCAACTTGGCGACACGAGTGGCAACTTGGCGACACGAGTGGCAACTTGGCTACACGAGTGGCAACTTGGCGACACGAGTGGCAACTTGGGTACACGAGTGGCATCTTAGCAATACGCGTGGCAGCTTGGCAAAAAGTGTGATAACTTGGCAACACGCACGCCAAATTGGCTACACGAGTGGCGACTCAACAACACGAGTGGCGACTGGGCAGCATGCGTGGTAACTTGGCAACTCGAGTGGCATCGTGGCTACACGAGTAGAATCTTGGATACACGAGTGGCATCTTGGCCAAAGGCATAGCAACTTGTCAAGACGAGTGGCATTTTATCACAAGTAAACGAACTGGCAACAAGCTCGAAAGCTGTACAAAAAGTGTAGGGTCTTGGCAGCTAGCGCGGCAGCTTGGCAACACGCGACGCAACTTGACAGAAAGCACGACAATTTAGCAAAAAGCGTGGGAATTCGTCAACACGAGGGACAACTTGGCAACACGATTAGCAAATTGGCAACACGAATGGCAAATTGGTAATACGAATGGCAAATTGGCAATATGAATGGCAAATTGGCAAAACAAATGGCAAATTGGCAACACGAATGGCAAATTGGCAACACGAGTGGTATTTTAGCAGCATGCAAACGACCTAGCAACAAGCGTGAAAGCTTGACAGAAAATATATGGATTTGGCAGCAAGCGCGACAGCTTGGCAACACGCGTGGCAGCAAGCGCGGCAGCTTGGCAACACGCGTGGCAGCAAGCGCAGCAGCTTGGCAACACGCGTGGCAGCTTGGCAACACGCGTGGCAGCAAGCGCGACAGCTTGGCAACACGCGTGGCAGCAAGCGCGACAGCTTGGCAACACGTGTGGCAGCAAGCGCGGCAGCTTGGCAACACGCGTGGCAGCTTGGCAACACGCGTGGCAGCAAGCGCGGCAGCTTGGCAACACGTGTGGCAGCTTAATAATAAACGCGACCGCTGGACAACAAGCGCGGCAACAAAAACACGAACCAACATCACGCATCAAACCCTGCATTTACGCACCAGGCTAAATTTGTACTGTCTCTACTATTGCCAGCCTCTGAGTCCCGTCTGTCACTACCCTGACAAGCCTAACAAGGAACATTGCCATTCGATAAAATTATTACTTAGCAAATATAATAAATTAGTGAAATCAATGACAACAAAAGATGACTCAGTGAAATCAAGGATAAGAAATAAACAGCAATTGCTGAGAGTGATTGTTGAGAGCTTTGACCTGAAGAACTTAGTGCAAGATGTGGGGTGTGTTAAGAAACATCACTTCCGGTGTCATAGAAAAGAATGGCGCGTGAGAACGCGGGAGGCAAAGCAGACAATGCACGACAGCGGGACTCGTATTGACAAGCTGTGCTGCCTCAGATGCACGGCTGCTGTACTCAGACTACAGTGCATGCCAGCCATGATACTGCCGGACACGGTACTGAATAGTAGCTTACATAGCAACGTGACAGCAACACACATCGTCTTCTATTGAGCACTCATCACTCATATGCACTCCTCACACATCAACTATTATGCAATCAACGCACATAATCAACTATATATAATGTCCTCAACAAACATGAACTAATATGTCCTCATCAAACATCATCAACTTCTCATGCATCAACTTTTTTCGTTTCATCAAAGATATACTGCGGCTGCCCTCAATGTTGTCATATTAGATTGATTCTGAAATTAACATTCGGTCTGAACATCCTTCGTCTGCAATGCAAGCAGCATAACAAAACCTAGTACACGCAAGTGCATAACGACAGTCATGGCCTGCAGCCACGAACTCCAAATGTCATATGACATGGCAAATTCAGAAGCCATTCCCTTATCAATTATCTATGCTAATCTGCCTTGCAGCGTGGGTATCTAATCGTCGATGGATCGCCGTTTCAAATACGCGAAAACGCAACCTGGTTGCCGGTGATGCTGCAACAACCACACCTTGTAAAATACGATGTTAGACGCATCGGTTGTGGGTGAAACAGTGGCCAGCAGTCGGCTGAGCCAGTGGACCAGGTGATACTGGTGCGTATATGGCCGAGACGCGCACAAACATGAGAGACGGGCTGTGACAGCTCAGCAAATTGTTGATGCGTGTGGTCATGAGGTGCGACAAGCAAACAAGCCATGAGAACGGTAGGTAGCGTCGCTTACTCAGCAACACATGGCCCGACATAATGCGCAAAACTTTATTGTCCGCATTCTTCTAATCCTCGTATTCTAGATTACCTTAAACGTATTCCGAAACATTATATGGATATACATTCTTCAACAATTTAGTAGTAGCTCAAATCTCCAATATTTCACTTGCACTATTCTCCGACATTTTAACCTCGGCATTCTCATACAATAATGAAATAAAGAGTGATAGGCAGTCACAAGTCTTTTAGAGTTCCAGCCTCAGCAGGGGTGAGGGTGCGGTTAAATCAGGGGCGAGATAAGGGCGGGTCACGCGCCGATAAGTAACCCAATCGCCTGATAACGCTGCTCACAAGTGCATCCTGGATGAGGCACTTCACAACACTGATAACGCCTGCCCAGCTTCCGCTCGTCTCTAAGGCTTATCACACAATACTCAGAGATGGGTAAAATGAGGCGTCAGGAAAACATTACAATTCCATAATTGAATTCTGCTAAATATTCTGTTTAGCTTTCAACGAATTTTTACGTCAGCATTGTATTATATATGTTTATCTATTATTAACATTATTAAATAATTTATATAAATTATTTAGTCGCTTGAATCGCGTATTTTCCATGAATTCGATGGTAAACCTATGTAATTCTAAGAAAATTCGCCAGATTATTGAAGAAAACGTTTACTTTAAAAAAGTTTTCTCAGATGTTAATTCTAATAATATGGTTCATTATCTAGCATTTTTGTTACTCACACTCCTGAATGTTAAGGCAAGCTACTGCCGTACTCACCGTTTCTGTCGTTGTTGGTGATCTTGACCCAGAAGTCGATGGTTTTCTCAGGTCCCAGTTCTTCATAGTCCCACTTCTGCTTGACGCGCACAGCGCCGTTAGCGTCGACCTCCACCCACGGATTATCATCGCGAATCTTGAAAGTTTCCCATTGAATTTCTTTCTCGAGTTGAAACACAACTTTGCCTTCGATGGCACCGTCGCCCTCCGAGAACGTCATCTCCTTGGTGTGTCGCACTTGGCTTCTCTTCTTACGGGACAAAACCATCGGGTCCGCGACGGAGGTAAGCGCTACGTCCCGCTCAGGATACTCTTCCTCGAGCAACCAATTGTTGTGAGACTCGACCTCGAGGCGGTCCAAGTTCAGGAGCTGGTCGTCGGGATACCTAAACTCGATATGGGCCTTGGCAAGCACCTCGGAGTACTGAGTGGGCTTGCGTTTGTCAAACGCTTCCAGTTCTAATTCATAAACGTTGGCTTCAGGAGGGCCAATGAGCATAATTTCTCCAGTTTGGGGCACCACAGTGAAGGTGTTGGACGGATACACTAGTCGGTAAAGGACTTTGTCGTTGTCGCCGTCATGAGCAACGACCTTGCCGATCTTGTCAAAGCGGCTGAGGTTCGAGGGCACGAAGAAGTAGAAGATATTCTGCGTGAACACGGGAGCGTGATCGTTAACATCCACAACACTGACGATGATATCAGCACTGGACACGTCATTGTTGGCCAAGTCAGTGGCACGCAGGACGAAACTCAGCTGCTTGCTGGCCTCGCTGTCCAGAGGCTCCTTAGTGATGATCTTAGGGAGTCCGCTCATGGAGCGGTGAACAGTGAAGTGCTTGGAATCCTTGCCCTGCAACTCATACCTGATCTCTCCTTCTCCGCCCACCGCCTCGAGCTCCTCCAGTCCCTGCAGCTCCGTGCCCGCAGGCATGTTCTCCTCAACGTGAGCCTCATATGAAGGCTGCAGGAACCGCAAGAGAGCCGACCGCTCTTTGACGGCGACGTTGATGACGAAGATACGTGACGGACCATCGGTGTACTCGGTGAGTATCTTGAGCTGTACGGTGGACCCGATAAGTGTGGACACCCGAGCAACCGTCATCACGACACCATCGTCCAACACAGCAAAGTAGTCCGAATGATAGGATGGAAGAAGCTCTACTATTCTTTGGCCTTGATGGAGAGGGATCTTCTGAACAATATAAGCCGACGACACCTCTCTCGGTATGGATACATTGTACACTATTTCAGGTAAGACTTGTGGACCTAAATCCTCAGTTTTTTGAGACTGTAAAACTTCAGCACTGACACTGCTAATATAATTGGGACACAACATTAAGATGACAAAGGCCGAGGCCATAATTTGAGACCCTGTATAGAGGCGGCACTTGTGCCGCGTGGTGGTCGTCGTGTGTGGAGCAGGGGCTGCCCACGGGCTCTTAGGGTGGTTATCTTGATGGGTGCCACCGCTGCCGTCCAGCACTGGGGGAACTCTCGGCCACCCGTCCATCTTGGGGGCCACCTCCTCCTCCTCCTACACCACCTCCTATTGAATACACTAGCTTGATGCTGGCACTCCACACTTTACTTCTACAACTCACTCCACTGGTCACTACACTGCCCTGAAAAATTTAATGAACATGAAATACTTAAAGCACGCAACAAAAATTTAATGACATGTTGCTTGGTCCAATAGTTTATCAGGATTAATGTTTTGAAGTTCCACAGAAGAGACTTGTGACACACAGCTGACTTCAGCATCACCTCAGGAGGGTGTTAATGGCAGTAAATAATCAACTTAAACTGTTTAATACAAGTAAAGGCTAAACCTATTGCTATAAACAGCACTAAATGATATCAGAATTCAAGAAACAATTTTAACATTGCTACCATAGGCTGGTATAACATTCATAGCACAAATTTTGCTCCAATGACTAGAACATCTTCCCTACCATCATCATTGCAAATCATTGAATGGCTTCTGATACATGTTATTCCTCCACTCTCGTTATATCACTTGCCTCCTCCTAATTTGTTGTTGTTTATCCTAACATCTGTTCTGGAATTCAACTATTTATTATCCCTATTATTATTTAGTTGAATATATATTTATTATATACGGTATATTCAACTGGCAATGAAGCCAATTAAAATAAACTCCCAGAGCTATTGTGAACAATGAAATCACTATGCCTGAATAGGGACATATGTATACAACAACATTTGCACTGTATACATCATACATACATACATTTATATACATTTACCCTGTACATATACCCTGTATTCATCAACATGTTTCACATCTTTTGAGCAGATACGGTACACGATTGGAATTTCTACATTCATTTGTGCGACAACAATTAGGTATCCAAGATCCTTGACTTACGCGATTGCCAACTATGACAAACATAAAAATGTTGGTTATTATAACTGCAAAATCTTCCCTCATTAATGCACACTGTAAAATGGGATGACTTTGATTATTTTCTGGGCTGACATTTTTGTGATACAATTAGTCACATAATAAATATGTAAATATAAATATTTATTGCATTTGTAGGTTATTTCATGGTACTTCAAGAGCCACAGCAGTACCCACTCTACCCAGCATTACTTAAACTTAGTCACCTAAAGTCCTAAACTATCACAAACTTTCATATATCTGGCCAATAACATGTGTAAAGAGGAACATCAGGCAATGTGTGTGTGGTGTGTGGTCGGGTGTGAGTGAAAAATGTGTAGGCTGAAAAAAGATTTTGATGCTGATGTCAGTGATGACTGATATGTTGCCTCAAATCTCTAAAAATTCTCTCACTTTCTGCATCATGACCGCATGCATCGCACCCTTGAATTCTAAGGACAGGGAAATAGCTGCAAAGGTATTATATACAGCAATATATATTAAGATCTAACCCTTGACAATTATCATATGGTATTTACTAACAAACAGCACATTAACTTTCAAGTGAAGTATATCTGTCAAGTGCTAAGCAGCAACTCATTACTCATGTGTCATTGATGCATTGAATGATGGTACTCATGGTAGACTGGTAGTAGATTAGTAGTGACTTGGCAAGCACCAGTACTCCGAACTCTGGTAGTAAAGTGCCATAGACATATTTTACACTCCCAAGTCCAGGAGTCCTAAATTCCTTAGACAAGTCACTGCCAGGAAGTATATATATTATTAATTTCCTCCATTCAAAATTTTAAATACTGTAAAATTCATACTATTGATGATCACATAAATTCCAGTGAACTACTATGGGCTATGCCTATGGCATATACTATAGTGATATAGGCTAGTCAATAGTCTGATAGTTAGACAAGCTTAGCTGCTTCAAAAGTTCAACCTGTATTATCATTCATTAAAATTGCTGTCAGCATTAGCAAACGTTGCTCGTCAACGATCAAGCAAGGCTCAAGATAAAATGTGTCTTTAAAGCCTAGGGTAGCTACTATTATTCTATATAGGCCTATTTAATTCCTGCTAGGCTACAACAAGCGGACAACCAAAATTCACAGGCCCTAAGACCTAAGTAGTGTGGGGCTGTGGGCATGTGAATTCATTAATAAATCCTTAAAAACAGAAATGATTAAATGGCGTTTACGTGACGTGCATGTTATTAATTTTACTTTTGATCTTTAAAGACATGAGCTTTGCGGCATTCCAGCGAGGCTTGCTGGTGAGCTGGTCCCGCTTGCTGTTTCCTGCGACCCGAAGCGGCGGAACTGAGACTTTTTCAGGTATGTTAATGTTTTATACTACACCGATGACGAGCACACCAATAACTGATCATTAAATAATACAACACAATATTTTGAATGCCGCCGCACTTGTAGACATGATCACTTTCACAGAAACTCACCTATATAAATCGAAAGCACTACAACGATCCTAGCCACGCACCACACCTCACGCTCTACTCACACATTATGAGTAGCAGAAACAGCGACAAGGCAACTAAACCGAAGGCTAAAGGACGGAAGGAAATTGGAAAGCTAAAGAATTCTATATCTCTATAACTAATATAACTGTCTAAACTCCTCAATGAAAGTCAACTTTCTTCTGCATCGCCAATATTTTTTATTATTTCTTTTAATTTTGATATGACCTCCTATATTTCGAAATTATTCATAAGATATTTTTCTATGTTTTAAAATTAATCATAACTAACATACTTTTCAAGCAGATCTGTCAAAATTAGGAAATGTAAAATAATTGGTTTAATCCGTCATTGTAATCTCCTGTGCAAAGGTAGGAAAGGCATCTGTCACAGCAAGCCATTGATCGTCTCCAGTACGCATGTCCCGAGAGCGTCTGACCCACGGGCAAGAGCAACTCGTGTTTCAGGTTAATACCCCGAGACCTGTAGGCGAGTGAATTGCAGGCGTAAGTTCCACAACTTAATCTTGGATAAGAAAAAAATATATCGTAATCGACTGGAATTGCCGTTGTCTATTCTATTAGAATGACGTATTTGGTTACAAAGCTGTAACCGTTTAAAAATGAGTTGTTTGCACATGCTTATGATCAGCCGGTACTCATCAGTTGGGCTTTTGGTAACGTCGGATCAAAGTTTCAGTATCTCGCATTTTTGAACTTTAGCACAATTAATATTATTGAACCTAAAAACATAAATATTTACGTGCTGTTATTGATGTGTTAGCAGGACTGGATTATTTATTATTTAACTTGTAAATCTTGCCCTAAGATATTATATCGACCATAATTTCTCCATTCACGATTATAATGAGCCACGTTCCAGCTCTGATGAATTTTCACCGGTTCACAAACCCACATAACAGGGCCCGCAACTGGGAATTCTTTGTTTTTGAGTATGTCAGTCTTTCCTGGGTTTAATAATCTCGAATGTATTTCTTTTTTTATATTATCCTAATTATGGTCTTTTATACTCTATCGCAAGTGACTATTTTGGCTAATCCCATTTCACTCACTCGTAGTTCTCAATCTTTATTCACTCCATTTCTGGCACTCTAGAGTCTTTCTCTCCCTCCTGGCAGTTTAGTTATAAAATGACCTTTACTTTTGGAGGAAATCTAATCTTTTTTCCACAAGGATCAGCAGCACTAAAATGGCGAGATTATTTCTCCAGCAGTTGAGTAACATGGATAGACAAAGTTACGGCGAAGAAAGTATTATTATTTACCCACGTATTTTACAGCGATTTCGTCGATTTTAAACTTGCACCAATATGGAGATGAGCTGTTTTAGTACTCATTGTGAGTCCTAGCAACGAGTGCCACTAAATTCGATGATTTGCACACACAGAATGAGAAGTTGTAACTCACCTCGCTTAGCAGGAAGAATGATCTCATAGTAACAACTAACACTGCTACCGCTACTCAAGCAGAATTAGATTAGCATAGTGGACGTCCGTAAGTAATTGTAGCACGCTCGTGCGGAAGGATTTGATTGAATGCAGAGTCAAGCTATACAGTGTCAAGCTATACAGCACATAGCTTTTTGTCGTTACGAGTGTGTGCTAAATTCTTGCATCGAACTGAGAACGAGAGATGCTACCTGCCAACCTAGGCGAGTGTAAACGAAGGTTAAGGAAACACGGTGACAGTTATAGCAGATCATTATTAAGCTTATGTAAAGTTGCTATTCTCCATTCCAGATTTACAGTTAAAAGACCTGCGATGTGAGCACAACTCAAAAGTAGGGCCGCGGTTCAGTAATTAGCAATGTTCATGCTTAAACTAGGATGATTCATTTAATAATTACATATGAAAATATTGAAGGCAGAACAAGATAGGCGAAAGCTTCGAGGTTGTATGTATGTACAGGGAGCGCACGAGTCGGCAGGTAACGACCCTCGGTCAGTCACCGCGAGAGTGCGGTGTCAACGGAAGGTCAAGCCACGTGGACATCTGAGGACGTGGTCTAAGCCAAGAAAGCTCTTCGTCATAAGATAAGGCCGAGTATCTTATAGTCCAAGATGGTGATCTCGTCATATGGCGATACCAATGCCTTGTCACATGTCAAGGCCAGGTATCCAAGTGTTATAAGATGGTGATACCATGACAGTTCCAAGTATACTATATACCGAGGGTGTTACTCGATTGCAAGGGAAGGCCAATAAACCAGAAGTCCAAGATGTCAACTTAACTCAGCAGCTGAGAGGGATGCGAACACAAAGCAGGATATCACGGCCATTTAATGGAATGCTAGACAGAAATGCTCACCAGCAACAAAATGCATGAAGATCCTGTATCTAATTGCAGGTCAAGGAATGAAGCAATCCTTTCTTCGCCGGCCGCGCATCGGGCGACGCAACAAATCAAACAAATCAGTCCGCAAAAAATTACTAGACACGTCATGCATCAGAGGGGGGGAGCCCCGTACAGACCTGAGACGCCTTAGTAGCACGCATTCATAGCAGTTAGAGTAGTTACCGAGTTGTCCCTGATGAGAGTAACCCCGAATACCTCGAGCTACTCTGCTCAGTTGTTTAATTGTCCTGGTGAGGGTAGCATCAGGTAACTAGCGTTGAACTGGTAAACCACTTTCAAGAAAGAATTCTCAAAAATTGAATCAAAATATAATTGGGCCCGATCTTCTTCAAACCGAACATGAAAAATAAAATAACTACCTACAAAGCTATAGACAGCAGCGACTTCATGAATTAAGGTTCCAGGTCTCAGTAAAGACTCCATTAATTTCTTCACAGAAAAGAAAAAAAGTTCCTAATCGAAGCAGCGGTTGCCTACAGTAATAACGGCATTCACAGTTAGAGGACAAGAGTAAGTTATTGGTGAACTTCTACATTGAACTATTCAGGTTCCATTATACAGGAATTAGGTGGGCATTAAGATAAATCTATATTATGCACACATTTATATCATATATTGGTTGTAATTTTAAAGCAGATAGAATAAATTGTAATCAGGGATGGTACACTAATAAGAACCACCACCAAAAGTAAGACACATCGATATAATGGTTTAGAGGTTCTCCTGGTTAGGGACAGAACATAAGGACATTGTCGCGTTATCGCGCTTAGTGTTACAGTTTTGATATTAATCCCAAATACGTAATTGCTACACATTAATGAGTCCACACAAAGGAAAGGCGTGCAGTATACATTCACTGCCTAGCGCACCCCAAAGTTCAAGTCACAATAATTATACGAGGAAATGATTTGTCTTGACATTGCCAATCTTCCAAAGATCAAGCAGCGATCTTGCAGCGTGACGTTTGGCTGTTGAGTACATAATCCGTCCTCAACTCTATATGGAGAAAAAAAATTTAACGGTTCAAAAGAGAACTCGGCGTCAGATCACCTCGACCTCCAAATCAGTTCTACATTATTTCCAGGATACACAAATACTGAGAACCAATGTAAAGAAAATTTTCTACTCCTATGCACTTAAACTCCAACATAATTTCATAAAATGAGTGGGATCGAAGGCAATGTAACTTCAGCCACCCAAGAACCGCAAAACATTTTGATCATGAACCAACAAAGACGTTGCTGCCTAACAAAAACGTATCCAGGTATCAGTAGCATATTTAGAAAAAGTATATCCCATTCCCAAGACATTCATTTCAAACAACCGCTTCACGAGATAATTTCCAAAGCTTTTCTCTCTGAGTGATGTACATCAGCAAAGGCCAAAACTCGAGTAAATAAGTTGAAGTTGAACAAGGAAGGGCAGTCGATATGCAAGTTTGCCAGAGGTAGGATCACACGAGGTTACACAATAGTAGCTGCACATGACGATTGTAGGCACAGCGAGAGCTCCACGAGCATACAATAGAAACATTAAATGCTTTCAACAACACAGGTCAAATTTGATGTGCACGTCAAACGCTAGGGTAGCCCCTATTAACCTTTCAACAATAGATCGTCCAAATTGACTTATCAGCGACGGGTAGTCCATACTAATCAACCTATCAGCAGTAGGTCGTGCTAATGGACCTGTCAGAAACAGGTAGTCCATACTAACCAACCCATCAGCAGTAGGTCGTCCTTATTGACGACCAGGTAAACCATTCAACAGTGACAGGTAAACCATTTATCTCGGAAAGAATACTGCGAAGAACGCAAGAGAGAATACCTGAACATTCCTAAAGACGCGACAGTCAAATCCCTCCCGTCATTGTTGACTCAGTCAGTCGTGTTACCAACACACGGGAAAACATAACTGAACCAATGAACCACCCTCTTCCTCATACCACAAGCCTCAACCTCTACAATTTAAAACTAAACAAATTTTCTGCCTAAAATATCATTAACTGAAGACCTGAACTGGTCTCCTCAGGGATATCTTTAAGGTGAGATACTTGTAGCAACATATTGATGGTAATCGACATATTTCAATATACAAATGGCACCAGACACATAACCATATGCAGATAGTGCCAGACGCATAGCAAAATACAGATGATATCAAACCTATGTAAAGATGCATTTAGTAAGATACAAACTGAAAAGGTCAATCATTGTATCCCTTACATGTCATATGAGCCATTTGTAAGGTGAAGCATAACGTTGTAGCTCTAAAGCATAGTAGCGAGAAGAAAGGTTACACTCTAAATACAAGAAGCGCTCTTAGAACTAAATAATTTGTTATAGAACACAACATGGAACAGTATAGATTACATTGAACGTTAACAACATTTGCGACTCGCAACGAGTTGAGGGGAGCACTCAACTTGTTGTCTACGAGGGTGAATATAAGCTACACACTTTTGTCTATTTTACTAAAATGGACTCGAGTGACAACGGCCAGCCATCGTACACATCAACTTTTTCCTTCACGGTTATACTCGAGCTGAACTCAGGTCATCTCAAGCATTTGCCTAGCGACCCAAGTATTTATTACTAAGAACCAAATGGCTGTGCTAATTACTAAAGCCTACTCAATCAATAACACAACAACCAATTTTCTTGCCAATTCACTCAATAACCTAAGAACCCAAGTTCTTGCCCATTCACTCAATAACACAACATCCCAGGTTTTCATATTGACTTTAAAACCCAACATACCGAGTTTTTGTCTATTCACTTTATAACCCAACATCCCAAGTTCGCCTATTCACTTTATAACCCAACAATCCATATTCTTGCCATGACCATATTCTTCATATGTAGAGAATCCAGCGAGATACTCAAGACCTTAATGCTAAGTTAAACCCTAACCTCATATTTTAAAGAGGATAACTGTGGTTGCTCGGCAGGATACGTTGAGAACATGCCATGATTAGGTGACGTACTTACGGCATAGTAAGTATCTTCGAGAAACCGACTACGAGTCAGGTCGCAGAATTCAATTAAATTGATATCAACCAAGCTATAAAATTATATCAAGTCAAACTAAAACGCAGGAACCCAAAGGTAAAGAATACCTTCAGCACACGATACAAGTTACTAGCCAGGATATGATATTATGTCTCCAAGAAATGCTACAAGGCAAGTATTCGAGGCTCATATTTAAAAATGTCTCAAAAGTAAATAATAGGAACCTGGTTAAGGTTTAAAAAAATTCGTAAGAACGCTCGAGCTGAGTTCATGAAACTGGGACATATCACCCAGCAAAAGACCGGAGAAGAACGTGTGGAAAAGAAGAGATATGACGATCAAAGGATCAGAGAGGGTGACAACATACGGAAGAAAGGTGTAAGTCAAGATAAGAGTAGATAAAACAGCACTGGAGGCTGTCCATGATAAGGGCACATGACTATGCCAGAGCCATTTTAGTCGGACTACGCAACCATCATCAAGCTGTGAAATAATGCAGTATTAATATGAAATAACAGTCTGTCATAACAGGCAAATTACTGAAAACGATAACAGAGGATATTTAAACAGAATTGCTGAAGAAGAACATTCATATAACAGGCACTGCAAACGAGGCTACCATAAATCACGCCTCTTCCCATTCACAAAATGAGAAAATAAAATGCAAAAAATTGATTCATAAGAAATGCTAAATGAAGCATAAGGTTCCTTATTTTAAGAAACCAAGGTTAATTTGTACATACGAATGTATGGAACTGCAGCCAATAAGCTCAAGAGAAGCGGAATGTAATTCAAACGTAGTGGGATTGAATCAAATGCATGTGTTACGCGAGGTATCTGTTCTGAATGAAAACTTCAGTAAAGAACAACATACATTAAAGACCATTATTTCCCATCGTACTGACGGGGAAAAAAGGTCTTTTCCATGGAAACCTCGACTAAAGAGAAACAAATAAGCTCTAGGAAAGCAGGCTAGTAAAGATATTCATATTTATAGCAGTGGTACATTGTGAAATTGCTGTACTACTGCTAGTGGTCGTATATTGTGGAATGGAGATACTACGATTGCTTGTGTATTGTGGAATAGAGGAACTACTATTGCTTGTGTATTGTGGAATGGAGGAACTACTACTAGGGGTTTCAATATTGTGATGATGTTAGTATTTTTTGGTAATGGTGGTACTACAGTGGTGGGAGATTTGAGTTGATGTAGGTACTAGTTGCTTCATCTCTTAGTAACGTTCTCAACCTCATGGAGCAGCAATACCAATATATGACAAAGTGACCGAAAATGAAATTGTACGGCCATGTCTGGAGCAGATGGTGTTAAAAAAGACTGAGTGAAGGGAAGCATGGTTTCATACAGATTCCATTCAAAGGGAGTATACAGCAAGGTATCTGCGTTAACTCACTGTATACTCAACGATCCTCTTATATGCGTCAGACAGAACTCTTGTACTAATTTGGAAAGTTTTGCTCTGAAGATTAGCCGTTGAGAACATTACCAAGCTTTAATACACACAATAGGTTGGTAAGAATGGCAAATTGTTAACAGCTGACGATGTTCAGACGGACTCAACCGGCAAGAACAGCCCCTAGTTGACAGCTGACGATGTTCAGACGGACTCAACCGGCAAGAACAGCCCCTAGTTGACAGCTGACGGTGTTCAGACGGGCGCAACCGGCAAGAACAGCCCCTAGTTGACAGCTGACGGTGTTCAGACGGACGCAACCGGCAAGAACAGCCCCTAGTTGACAGCTGACGGTGTTCAGACAGACTCGACAGGCAGCGAGAGCTCCTTGTTGACGGTGAGGTACTCGTTGGGACGCTTGTGGTCGGTGAGGGCCTTGATGGTGGTCTCGTCATAGGGCAGTTCGCTCTTACGACGCAGCAGCGGCTTCTCTTTGTTGCGAGGCGCCGCTCCTGCAACCTCCGTCTTGGCCTCAACTGCACCAGGGACCTACAAGGAGGAGAGCGTTTAGAAGCAATTCCTACCAGTGAGTATAAAAAAAACATTTTATTTTTAATTAACATAAGTTGTGCTAATAACGAGGGAAACATGCGTTCATTCGGCAGAGAAAATAAGTTTATTCATCAGTGCTTAACTACCAAATACGTAGTATTTGGTAGTTAATAATTGCATAATTATGCCCATTTGAATGCATTGGCAAGTACTCCGTGTGCAATCCATTGCATTTGCTGGAATCTTGTCAGGTACCTGTCAGTGACGCTCATTAGGGATCTAGTTCTTTCTTGAAACAAATAGTCTTAGGTCAGAGTAATTAAGGGTCAGAGTATGGTTAATGTAATCTAAAATCATGGACAAGGTGAAGTTATCCTATCAATATCAAGATAATGGCTAAGATAATCTCACATCAAAGCAGAGTTTGCTGTAATCCTACCTACATCTGAGTGGGGGTTAATATAATACTAGTTAGGCTAATGATGAAGTAAGAACGAGTGTTAAGATAATCTTGCATCAAGGCAAAGGGTGTTTTAATCCTACATGCATTGGAGTCTGAGTCGAAACAAACCTCTAGATTATCTTACTTGAGGTAACAAAATGTTAAGGTAAGGGTCAAGATAATCTGACATCATGGCAGTGGTACAAGTGATCGGAGTAAAGGTTCAGACCATTTGACATCAAAGGAAGCAAGCCAAAAGCGTCAGTCAATACAATATTAAGGCAAGCACAAAATTAAAACAAACATTGCATCTTAGCCAAACTAGATAGGAAAATGTGCGGAACTTCATGACCTTTTCACAATAATAATATGCCAGTGTAAATTGCACAGACGAAACAGTTTGTGTAATTGTACATACAATGTGAACACATATATTATATAAGTATTCTGATGTACTTTATACAGCGAGAAAGTTAAGTAAAATATTACACTCCAATGCATTTTTTCCTAGCAGCGCAGTAGACCAAACTCTCCAGGGAAGCTGGGTGCGATAGAATGAGCCAAGTGCACAAAAAATGTCGGGTGTGGCAGAAGAGTCAGGTTAGAGAAAGATGGGTTTGATAAATACGTAATTTTAGTGTTTTCAAAAATTGGCTTCGAGAAAAATTTCTCGTCAGAGAAACAGTGTGGTGTTGTGAAAGGGTCCTGGGGCCATACTTTCAAAACTGGCCAAGTGAACGTAACTACTTACGCTCAATTATCTTGTCTATGATTGGTGGATTTTGCTCGAATGGCCGTCAATGATTGGCAGATGAACTTACGATCTCTTAACTTGTTTTGAAAGTATAGACCCAGCTGGAGTATTGATCGGCGAATAGGGACACTACGTCCACTAATGGTGTTGGGAGCCGCCATAGCCCCATTCATAGCTTAAACTACTAAGGCTCGGTGTAGATGTCGTATAATTTAGTCAAAAAATAGTATGTGCGCAAAGTTAACAAAATGATAACAGAAGTTGCCAGCGTATGTATAGCAGGAAGTGCAACTCATCAAAAGTCTTGCTACACTAATCAGAATGATTTGACATAATATATAACAAATTTACAACAGCATCCAGATATCTGTGCAATGCGCCTCAATACACTGGCTTGTCTTGCCAAGCTTCACAAGATGATTTCCCTTCAAACACACAGAACCTGCACTTGAATTTAAGCAGTTACAACAGATAGAAACATTTATTTCCCACCAGCAAGTGACAAGTATGGACAGCAATGTAGTAGATTATTAGTGCAAGAACTTGGGGCTTCGTAGTGTAATTTTGATAGTTCTTTTATGAACAGATTTTGAACACAAGAACTGTCAAGGAGGCTAAACTTTTAGTGGCCGCGGTTCTCGTTTTACTTCTAGTTTCAACTTTTAAAAAGGTTTTTTCAGTATCGACACTACAACATGGAGTAAACGAGATGAAAACATTTAGCATCCAAAGAAGGCGGGGATCATCCAAGAATGGCATTTGTATATGAAAAAAAAATTGACTACGGTTTTAAAACGGACAAAGGATTTAAAACCGATTTAAGGGATTAAGTGCCGTTTTGTATACCAACAGAACTACATAATAAATCAAAAAGCAGGATTAAATTCGAATCGATCACACATGCAACTGAAATAAAAAATACAGGTAGGCGGCAAATAACACAGGTAATACAGTAATGGCTCTAGGTTTCTGAGATTCGCTAACAAGTTATAGAAATCAGGAAGCTCAAAAGGATAATAATCACAGCTCCCAAAGCTCAAGGATTGCTATAAATACTATTTTCTGGCTAAATTTTCACTTCTGGGTTCCTTTCCACATTAGGAGATTCACGTGTTCCCCTAGACACCTGTCTTCAACAGCAGCAACGGTCTCTTGCATCATTAGCATTTAAGAACTTAACGGTAAGCAGAGTCAGGTAAAGCAACAGGGTTTATGCAGCATCAAGTGACACTAGCAGGTAGAACAGAAAGCCGCTCTTAGCAGCCGTTGATGCAACAACTGCATTGACAGGGAAGGAAAAAGCAGCAGCTGATATGGGAGTAGGAGGGAACAGCATCAACTAATAACGAGGGTAGGAGGGAACAGCATCAACTAATACGGTGGGAGGAGGGAACAGCAGCAGCTAATACGGAGGTAGGAGGGAACAGCAGCAGCTAAGACGGGGAGAAGAAGGAACATGCAGCTGAATTTGAACACAAGGAAGAGTGCTCACTGATGGCACCTCAGGACTGAAGAGCCTGAAGAACTCAAGTAGTGACGACAGAAGAGACATCAGACCGGCCGACTGAAGCAACATCAGGCACGCCGACAGAATACATATAAGGCAAGGTTGACTGAAGAAACATCAGGAGCTGATCATTGAAGAGGCTAGTAGAGCAGGACACTGATGCCAGCAATGCATGAGGCAACAATTCAATGGAACATGGGGCACTGATGGCTGTAGTCTGGAGACATCGATCACTGATGACAGATGAATCCAGAGACATCAATCACTGAAGAGCTTGGAAACGTCGATGACCACTGCAGTATCGTGTGATATTTATGTGGCCTCTGAAGAGGCAGGGTGATATATCAGTGGCGAATGAAGAGCCAGATGATATGTCAGTGACCACTAAAGAGCCAGTCGATTCGTCAGTGGCCACTGAAGAGGTTGGCAGCAAGTCCTGACCAAGTTACACAATGGGAGAGATGAGTTGGCATGCGGGAGACGCTGAAGGAGGAGTGAGCTGAGACTGTGGTAACGCCTGGTGGCCGCTGGGCTGTTGGTAGAGACGACAGCTGCCGGTGGTGGTTGTGGTAGTAGTGGTAGTGTTTGTTACAGTGGTGCTGGTGGTTGCTGTGGTGAAGTCGTTGTAGGGATTTCTAGCACTAAATCAGGACACGGGCTGTCGGTGGTCGTGCAGATGCAGACCTGACAGCTGTCATGGCACAAAGAAAACACGACGTAGCTGTATGAAAATAGAGGACATAAACATGGCATACATGGCGCACGAGTAATGCATGATGCACATGTTTCACTGGTTACTGTAGTGTACTTCTCTAAGTTTAAAATTAAATCTATGTAACATAAACTATGTAACATAAATACACAAAAAAAAATATTTGAGGAAAAATAGCAATATTTCAACATCCACGTAAAGTTATCACAAAAGAACCCAGAAGAAATAGCATTATTTGAACCATTATAAAGCACAGCTAACTACAAACGCCCGGTAATATTAATGCACGATAAGCAAAGTTAAATGCTCAAGATAAGTCACCAGTCGACAGAAAAAAATTAACCCAGAAATAAGCCCGTGCAAAAAGTGAATAAGAGCACCCACAAGAAGCTGTCATTGTTGGCACTTCTATAGGAATGCAAGATGTCAGACATGAAGATGGAGGTCACTGGACACTAGACTAAGCTAGATGACGGAAAAGTGAACTGTGTGGCAGTCACCCTACATACAGAAAGGATCTTCAGTGTAGTAGTTTGTGTCTCAAGAAGTCAGAGCCTTGCAGTAGGTATCTCTGTCAACGGACTAATTTTTTTTTTATCGATGCAGGGGGGAAAACTGATAAAATCTTTCTTTTTAATAACAAATGAAGCGTGGAATGCTCTATTCTTTAAAGCAGCGAAATTAAGGTGAGAACAACTAGCTCTCCAAACAGTCAACACCAAGAGTCTAAGACTTGATTAAAATGGCCCGTATAATATCAAGATGTGGACGAAATAACAGTATAGAACTCATGTGATCGTATGTTGCGACTTATTGACTGTTCAATGGGTTTCAGAATTTTGAACCAGCCGCAACAACCGTCAGGAGATGTTAATGTTAGATTTACCATCAGACGCATCTCTTCTTAGAAGGAAAACGCAAATAAAATGGCATTGTAAAGCGACTAAGAGCAACGAAACGATAAAAGAAAATTGTTTAGAGACTACTTTGTCTGAGACCTGCTCACTTAATAAAGTTGAGCTGCTCTAAGTAAACTTTTGTCGGGATTGTGGATACTTGATAGTAATTACAGTAAACAAGAGAATATGCGCGGCCCTGCAGCAAACACACTGGGTCCAGACTAAGCCTGTGCCAAAAAGGCAAAAACAAATGACGGTGATGCTTCTTCAAATCAATTGATAATGAATCAATACCTACATAATGAATAAAGGAAAATATCCTGACTCACATGCTGAATTGTTGAATGAATTCAAGGAAAACAAACGAGTGAAACATGAAATGAACACAAGGCAAGATACTTGCGAGTCTGTCGTCATGATCAAACCTGTTAACACTTTGACTGCGATTGCTTCATCTCGTACTAATCATTTCATTTGTTGTACTATTATGAAACAAGATTGCCAGACTTCCGGTCTTTTTTCCGGACAAATTCCGCGATTTAGTTTTTTGTCAATTGCGTTGGCCGGCTAAAATTTATGATAGGGGTACTTCCTAGTTAAATTTAAATAAGAGGGACATGAAATTTTTACACCGGAACCTAAAAATATACTAGTATATATTGAGTTATAGACCTTTTTTGGCGTTTTAGGTTCGCGGACTTGGCCATATTTTAGGCCAGCTGGCAACCCTGAATTACGCACCACTACGTCCTGAAGAAATAAATTTCGTGGTACACATATGGCCCAATACGCGGGGAACGTGTTAATGCTTAGCAGTAGAAATTGGGAAACAAATGCTATGATTCCATACAGAAATCGAACAAAAAAAATTCTCAACAAGGAAGTTTTCCACAGACATTCCGCGATACATCTTGTATGGCTTGTATCTTCGATGCTTGAGTTTGTGTAATACCTCAAAACACATGACAGGTATCTATGATACTCGAGTCTAGATTATCATCTCAAGACAACCATCTTTGACAATTGATTATTGTTTCATCAACAGACACGAAGATGTTTGGTCTGAGCAACTCATCTATGAGGATATTATATCTACAATGTTCACATCAATGAAGCACTACCTAGCTTCAATTATAGGCCAAAATGAGAATGGAAATCATAAAGCTGCAAAGGAATTTACAAATGAAATTTGAGCGAGCTGAATGTTCCAAGATATGAAACGAACGGTCACCTGGGAGCATATGGAGACAATTTTAATGCAAAGTACGCAAGTAAGCAGGACCTGGAACACATTTCTGGTCATTGTTCCTTTGAGGGAAATAAAACTGAACAAAATCACACGAGGTATCTACCACCAGCCTCTACCAGCACTATTGCCTACCTCTTTGGCAACTCCGTCTCCTCCAGCAGCGGCGGCAGCAGCAGCCACAACTGCAGCAGCATCGTTGGCATCAAATTCAACGTCAAGCTCATCATTGAGCATGTGATGCGTGTTGGTGTAGAGCAGCGAAGACTGTGCAGAACTCTGCATGATCGCCTCGGAGTACTCACTATAGAGCGGGTTCTGCTCAGCTTTCATCTCAACCTCATGCCAAGCGTCCTCTCGCTCTCTTATCCGCTCCTTCTCTCTGTAAATCAGATGAGGCATCAACAATACATTGACATGATGACAAAAATAGTTAACAAAGAATACAGTATTTCTACCAACCTGACCTCAATGACAGTGCAAGCTATATGCCACATGCAGTGCCAATGGTAGAAAAGCTGCCAAAGGCCGCTTTCTTCCTTTTTCTTTATCGCTACGATTAAATTCGAGGAAGAAACAATCCAAAGATCAAATAGAGCTTTTGAAATGTTAAAAGCAAACAGCCTAAAACTCCGAGCTCTAATTAGATTGTTTTCGTTCCTCAAATGAAAATTACTATTCTAGACATCCACCACATACAGATTTTTTTCCATATTTGCTTCCCACACAAATTCACAATCCCTGGAATCTGCTTCACGTCTGTATTATCCTACTGTTGTCCACGCAATTCCTTGCACCCAATCATCAAAAACAAACTCCTGCATAACAGGAATTCCATCGATCTCTCACACGTCTCACATTCCACCATCATATACTCAAGAGTTTTCTTCATGCCAAATAATGAAATACTCGTACCCACTTCCGTCACTCCCCCCTGTATGCACATACATCCACTTACACCCACCGCCTTCGTCACAGCACCAAGCAGTATTTCCCTGCCTGTGCCGCCATCATACGTACAATCGTGCTCTGGCGTCTCTCTTACTACCAGGAGTAGATAGCACTGACATCAATACTGATCAGCAGGGGTGGACACAAAGGATAATTTGGCATGAATTATGGTAATACAGCACGATATCATTACTATAGAAATATTTTTCCTTACCGTAGCATGTAAGAACACTGCAATTAAGATCTGATACCCATTTTAATTGACCTTCATCATATAATTTAGAAACATGCTAAGGTTTCAATTTCAACTTATGAGGTTGTTTATTTACAATTTAAGAGGTGGAGAGAACTCATGTCCACAATTAAAAAAAAAAAACTGAGAAAAACCGTAAACAAAAACAAAATAATTCCAGTGAAAAAAACATAAAACACAGAGCAACTGTGTTGCCACCAGCAAACTCCAACTTCTAGGCTACATAGACAGAACTATCATAAATATTTAAGAGTTCCTAACTCCGTCAGTCCAATCACTAATGACTTTTTAAGCTAAACCACCAATCACAGAGAGGAAATCGGCCGTTTCATGACTTGGGCCATAAGAGTACTCAGCGAGCTTTGACGTACGACCCAGGTAATATGTATCTGACAGTTGGAACATACCTTTGCCTGTCAGGCTTGTATTTCTTAGTGCAGTCGTCGAAGAGCTTCTGGTTCATCTCCATGAATAGTTTTAAGGCGTTGTATATCAAGCCATGGATAGTCCTGTACGTGAAATTGTCTCAATTATAAATAAAACGCACTCTAATGCCTTCAATGCAGTATTGAAAATCGAACTACCTCTAAAAAGATGAGAGCTTGGACAAGGGGTTTTCAGTGCATGCATCTGGATAGAAGATCAACACCATGACAAGCTATAATATGTGGCCGGCAAAAAGATGAATCCTAAACTTAGTCACAGCTTCAAGCAAGATATTGATGTCAACATCCAAAAGAGCTGATCTTGAGGCAACTACAATTTGACTGGCACAACGTAATGACACGGTTTAGAAATATACCGTGTTTACAATGAAATATGAATGAAGGCCATCAAGCAAATATTGTAAGAAGTGCTATAAATTAATAGATGAGACATGATGGAGAGGCTGACTTGTTCCAATGTGTCTTGGAGTGCTTGTAGAGCGCAGGGAACATGATGGGCAGGATAGTGTGGGCGTTGTCACTGATCAGAGACAAGATGTACTCGTTGTTCCAGTAGTACAGAGCTCTCTCTGCCACCTGCACGCCAGAATTCAGTAAGCATTCAACATAAGCACCTTAATGTAACACATCAAGACCGTCTCTAGTTAACCCATCACTGACAAATGTTTGTCAACCAATAAATTCCATAGCTTATGGCGCAAGATAGCTTTATAAGTTATAAGTTCGAGGTTAGAGGCTAAATCCTTAGGTGCTATATGTTTGGGATTTATGCTTAATTCTATTCCATCTCAAGGATAAATACTCATCTATAAACTACAGCTGAGGTAAAGAAGGGTTAGTTACTCTACAAACATTACAATGCTCACATTAATCAAGAGAAGCTCAAAGTTAAATTCTCAATTTCAAATTAATTCAAATCCTGCATCACTGAACAAGTGTCCCTCTTTAGGTAATTGTAATTTACAGCATTTCACATAAAATGCCTAAAATGCTCCATTATTACAAAACTTTACTGCATCACTAACTTGAACATAATATTTTTTTGTAAATATGGAGTGCTGCTCTCAGAAAGAGAGCTAAACCAATGACTAAGACGTATTCAAGGTTAAGAAGATTTGATCATCTGATATGGCCCAGCTAAGAATGATGTACCTGGAAGTGCGGTGACGACACGCACTTGGCGAGCTGTACGAACAGGGGAACCATCACCTTCGCAAACTCGTTTGGCTCGATCACATCCAAGATTTCTTCCAATTCATTCAGGAACATAACCTGCCAAATAAGAATTAATCCATAATCATGACATGATCATCTACCAATATATAGTGATCATGCACCCACTCATCAAGCTATCTTCTACCTTTGCCATACATACTCTTTAGACATCAATATTATAATTCCCTTATTTTTTCTGCTAAAGCTCACCTCTTTTGGGCTGTGAACTTTTGGCCAGAATTTGAGCAGCGCGATGATGACAGGCTCTGTGAGAGATGGATCTTTCTCAAGGAACTGCACAACACAGTACGCCAACTGCGGGTGGTACACACTCAGCGACTTGACTTTGTGTAGTGGCAGAAGAACCTTCAGCAGGAACACCTTGTGCTCCTCTTTCAGTGGCAGTGCAAAACCATTTATGATGCTGCACAACAAATCAACATTATTCATTAGGAATTTTTTGTTTCAAAATATGAAAGGTAGGTACTGAAAAGCACTTAGGCACTTAGGTGGTGAGTCATGAATTATTGGCGGTGTCACGAGTAGCACTTACATATACCTATATCAGCAGCACAATAGCCTTTTTGTCACTGCACTAGTGGTAATATTCGTCTGACATGAATGCTTGATTTTTATATCATAGATGATATAGATGTTACGATAGATTCATCTATACATGATAGTAACAGCTACCATGGGGGAATTAGATGTTAATAGGTAAATCATCTTAGGGTTGAACAATCGATGGAAGACAAAAATAATCAAAAGTTCCAGTTTCAAATAACTTAAGTCTCCCGAACACATTATACTTCATATGCTCACCTACAAAATACTAGTTCTAAAATTTTCTAAATGAATTTTTCTCTGTTAATGATAGTATATACCTACTTCACTTGATTAATATAACTCACAAGTACATCAGTATATAAGGTGACCTGGTGGGCAGTATCTCACCTTCCTAGAATTTCTAATAACTCAGCCACGCCATTGTGGTGCTCTGTCTCGTAGATAAATCTGAGGGAAGTGAAAATGTAAGCTAAGTCATTAAAAATAAATGGCAAAATTTACATTTAAAAACTGAAAGAAATAGATTGCGCAAACAAATTATGCAATTTATTACTTAGAATGAAAGAGCTAAATGGAAGAAACTCACTTGTAAAATATGTTATTAATTTGCTTCCTTATGAAGGCACGCAGTCCCAAGAATTTGCCATATATTCTATGCAATGTGGTTTTGAGGAAGTCTCTCTCTCGAGGATCCTCGGAGTCAAAAAGTTCAAGTAACTGCATAACAAATCTCTGGTCAATGTATTTCTTGGCTGTTGGTGGATGAAAGTCTGGATTCTCCAAGAAGCGCAGAAAGAACTCGTACACAAGCTGCAGGTGAGGCCAAGCAGCTTCTAGAGTTGGCTCGTCTTCTTCAGGGTCAAACTCAGCCCCTGGTATTTGTGAGAAAACACATTATAATGATATAATTATCATAATAATAACTTCAAAAAATGATTCATTTCATGGCTGAAGTTATAGTTGTCATGAGGAATAGAACAAAATCAATTTTCTTGCATGATCCTACTCAGAATAAAAAAAGATGAATAATTGAGCATTTGCCTAGTATTTTGCATGAAAATTTCTAGTGACTGTGATAAACTAAAAAAATATTAATCATACTAACTTAATGTCTTTGTTATTGTTCTTTTTCTTTGCCTGACCTGATGGATTTGTTGAGGGAGGAAGTGTTCTGAAGAGGTTGACGCTGAACATGGCAACCACCTCAGGATAGACAGGCTCGGTGATCACACTGCGCTGTGTTGTCACGTATTCAACCATCTCATTGAGGGCAGCTCTCTTAACTTCTTTCCATTTCAGGTCACTCAAAGGGTCAATAATAAAGTCAAACAGCACAGTACACTGCCGGATCTTCTGAAGAAAAAGCTCCTCCCGCTCATTTGGGGCTGCATCTGCAATGTAACAATTATGTATGATACAAAATGGATAAATATAATGATGAAGCACAATTGTTTGAAAAGAATTCACTAGGCAAAAATTAAGAAGAACAAGTGACATGTAATGAAGATGTGAAGATGAGCACAATTGACATGTACATGGCATTTTTGGATAAATGACAGAATTAGACATTTCTCAGAATTATTTGAAATTCATAACATAAATAAAAAAGTTATATCAACAAATATTGAGTTGAAAGCTCCTAAAGGTTAAAGAAACAATACTTTCTAAAAGAATTTTGAACATTTTTGAGAATATAACCAAAAGATAAGTGCAGCATTAAAATGAAAAACTATGAAAATTAAACCAACCTCTAATGGCTGGAAGTTTTAGTAGTTCTCTGTCTTGAGAAACATTGAAGCGGGAAGAGCTTTGTCTTTTATCTTTTTTAATAACTGGAGTGTTAGGGGAGTATTTTATTTTGTTTATTTGCGTAGGAGGAGGTCCAGGTAAATCTTTGTTTAAATCAAGAGCCGAGTTGTTGTTTGCTGATTGGTCTGTGATGGATGTGCTGCATGAGTCAGGATCAGATGTGTTGTTGTTGATGCCATTGCTGGTATTGTCATCTGCCTCAGGAGGGCTGTCCCCACCTGCTGTTGGGTCTGACCCTGAACCCATACTCATTTCGGTAGCCTGTGAAGCACAAGCAAATGACAGTTTAAAAGAAGCCTCCATAGCAACCTCACTTAAATATCAACATGCTTTCATACAAAAAAAGATTAAATTACCATAACTATGGACGAAAGAAATATTTTAAACACTATCTTCTATTTCTCAGCATAATATCACTCTTCTATCCCAGTTATATGCAAACATTGTATAGAAGATCATGTTTATAATTAGGTATGTTAACCTAAAGCTTTCAGAACTGAAACATAGACATAATAAACATAAATGCTCTTATAAACATTTTCTAATCTCATTACTACATTTAAATGATAATTATTCAAAAATTGGCAAATAGTTAGTCAAACCTTTTCTCAGGCACATACCATAACCACATGAAGATTAAAATATGTGATTTACAATGCAACAAAATTAGATAATATTTGAGCTGCACTGATGCAAGCTTTTAGAATCACTTGATAAATGTGATGTCAAGTGAAGATAACAGTCAAGATAAGAAAATTCTATTCATTGGTTAAATATATCACAGCTTCAAAGTATATATCATATTTTCAATAATTTGGAATCTTGCAGCACAATCATGCATACAAGTTAACAATTAGATGGGTGATAATTTATCTGTCAGGATTCTTGCAGCTACAAAAATGGGGAAAGCTTTAGTTATGGTTGGGGCAGTAGCTCTATTCAATGCTTGGTTAGAGCTTGGCATGGAATATATCTGCCTCTCAAGCCACAACTAGATCTTTTGTGCCTTTTTTGAAGCCAGGAGATTCCTGCTATTGAGCCAAAAGATTTCAAAAAATTGTTATTTTGGAGCCAGGAAATTTTTTTCAAAAGTAGAGAAATTCCAATCTTGGTTCAAGCCATAATGACTGCCACTGCCACATTATTATATGTTGGAAGCTGGGAGCCACATTATTATATTTAAAAGTATATAGGTATACCTATCAATGTTATTCTCATATCTATTTTCCTAACTGGAAAATTGGACAGACAGAAGCCACCCTTCCATTAAATTAGACAAAAATACCAGTGAATTTGGCAATTTCAACCATTTCAATAGCCCTTTTCGAATTTCATTAGTAAAAAATGAGAGAAACGGCCTATTTTGCCCGGAGTTTTTTTTTCAAAATCACCTGTAAAATGATTTTTTTCCACCCAAAATTGAAGAAATATTCAGCCTAATATTCCAGATTGAGATTGGTCTATTTCCATTACCTGCAGGGTGGCACCTGCCACCTGGGAAGCCACTGTGCAGAGAGTGAACGAAGATTTAAAGACCTACGGCGACGCATTATCGGCAAAATTTTTGCCTTCACAAGATCTTGCCGACACATTTAGATTAAAATTCTTGCATTTAATATATTTCTCAGTCTTCAGCCAACTATTTAGAAAAAAAAGTAAGGTTTCCGGTACGTTGGATGGATTACGATGCAGCGAAGCTTGTCCGGAAATCAGTTGCAATGAGTTCCCGCAAAAAATGTAAACAACATTTTTTTGATTGCGTAGTTTTGATTGCATTAGAGCGGTCAGACTGCTTTATTACTTGTTCAGTTGACACTTGCTGTACAACCGGACTGTTTTTAGGGTAAAATTAGTTATTTGGGGTAACACGTGCATGCAACCTTGTAATAAGTTCGTGGCTTGTAAATAGTTCATCATTACTCAGCGTAAATGGCTTTTCATTAAAAATTACCCGGCGACGCATTTTTAAAATGGCTGGCGACGCTTTGGGCTTAAAAATCCATATATTGCCGACGCTGCATCCACCCTCTGCATAGTGGCTGGGAAGGGAAGATGGAAGTTTAACAAGTGACAGCTTGTTAACCAGAAATCTGGAATACTAAATAGTAAATACAAGTTACAACCAAGATTTGAGACTTCAAATTCTTAACTAAAATAATACAAGTACAACTTTTAAGTCCCCACTCCCCAGTTTTGGTTTAGTTTAAAATTTTACAGCTCAATTCAACAGTTTTACTGACAATTTGATGGTAGTTAGGCCTAGTTCATCAAGATCAAGTCTTTCCAAGTAGGCTAGAAATGCTGCAATTTCAAAAGATGGAATAACTCTTTAGTAGTCAAGTTGCAACTCAGAGACAGATTTGTCCAAGCCTGTCTCAAAATTTTTTTTGCCTTACTATCAAGTAGGGCATCTATCTCGGCACATTTTTATCCGGGTTACATACAAATTATATACTTATGCAGGCAACGCATTCAATGAAAATTTAAAGAAAAAGAACAAGTATAGCACTGTTACAAGATGAAAAACGATTCCAGGAGACAATGTTATCGCAACGCGCCTTTCAGAACAATGAATTTGACGATTAATAAAGTGCAGACGTACCTCCATGTCAACTCTTTTATTTTGTACTCTTTAGAAGTTCGACCTCGAACCTCATGCACTAGGTACTTATGCCAACCATCTGAAACGAATGTTCTACGAGTATTTTATGATCATATTAACTACTTTTATGTTGTCAAAAAGCGGATATGGAATTAAAAATCCTATTTATGACTAATGGTGCAAAAAGGAGAAACGAATCTCAGCACCAACACAGTTTTTCAGCCTCACAAGGAACGCTGCCATTGGTGTTTTCTGGTCACAAGCATAATATTGGAACACTTATTGCAGTAAGCTGACAAAACTTTCACAAAAAGGATAACAAATTGAATTTTTTTATTTTAGTATCATTTAAATACATGTGAATCATAATTATTATCATAGCAAGAGATATTCCGTGGCTATACGAGCTATGTCGTTCGTCCGAAATGTGTTTCTTATCACTGATATCGTTATCATTGTGCAAATTGGCTGCCCACTAATAAAAAATTAAAACATTGTTATACAAAAATTGTGAGCGTATTTTGTACGTGGTGCAGTATTCTGGAATTATTTCCAGACAGGACTTCTTAGAAGTTTACATTGAAGATATTCATTGCTTAACATTTCTTGTCTGAATTACGATAGAAGAACCATTTACGCTCATGAAAAAAGCGAATAAATTTACAATCCAATAGAATTTTAGTTCTCATCTAAAGTAACAACATTACTTTATTATATACCAAGAACTAGAATTAATTAATAATAAAAAATACTAAGAAGCCTATAAGAACATGAGACGCAATAAGTTATGCCAAGCTTGTTGTCATGGATACCAACAGCGTCAATGCATGCTTGTTGAAAGGGGACTGAAGCATAGTTATTTACTACTCATGAAAGGAGCGGTAAAAAATGGTAAGTTTCAGATTAATCGATGCAGTTTTAATTTGTGTTGACGTTTTATAAGAAGAAAATGATAAATATTGACAGTAAAGCCTGTGTTGATTGGATCAAAACTATTTTGCTGCCTATTCCAGACAACGCATAATTCTGAGAGCTTGCTCGGAGCTTCGAACTTGCAACGCAGTGCTCTAAAGTCCAATTAACCACTCAACCACACCGTTCATTTGCCACTCTCACTCTCCGTTTGATTTAACTGCTTACGCTACTCTAGTCTCTATCATACCTACAGAGCATCTGACATAAAGCAAATTTTGATTACGATTCGATTGCACCAAAACATATGAAACTGAAACTACTACATATATATGATTTGTAAATAACAGCTACGGACGTTTTCCGGCTTTTGGGCTATAATAGTTTGGTTTAGTCTGCGACGTTGCGACGTGATGGCAAAAAATAACATAAGCATCCTTTTCGAATGTAGAAAATTCTATGCTCGAGAAGATTTACGCTTCAAATGTACTCAAAATTATTATAATTTTTTTTTTCCTTTTAACAACTGAAGAAAAATGATTATAAAAGCACATCTATTCGTAATTAAAATGTTGACATTCAATGAAAACTCTTTTGATTTCTTGCTATTCGACAGAACTACACCAATAACCCTTATGTCCAGATAGTCTTCTCATGGTTTGGACGAAGTGATAAGACCCTCGTTTCTGAGAAACTTTGTATTCACATCAAAATACAATGCAACTTGGACATTAATTCTCTGTAAAAATTTAAATCAGGCGCTACAAAGAGTTAAATTTTACGACCGACGATCTAGAAATCTTGATCGCCATATTTAAATTCCAGTTTATAGTCACGTAACGTAAAACGGACGAGCATCGTTGCCTGGTAGAATCGACATTTTCGCAATTATTGTTGGTGTTTGTATGTGTCGAAGGCCCAGAACAAGAGTGCAGGAGTGAAGGAGACATCCACAACGTCTCTACGTGAAGCCATTAAGCAATGGGAGGATAACAACAATATCAAAATCAGCGACGTTGAGGAAGTCAAACTTGTCGGCCTCTACCCTCCTCTGGAGAAGCTTGATCAGCACATGCAGACCTTATCACACGTACAGTTGAGTTGCGGTCTCATTGCTACATTTTGGTTCTGTGTACGTTATACTAGCGTACTTATGCATGGTTATACCCTCAATTGATTGATCGTAGCCACTCGCTACAAAGTGAGAAGTAGGAAAAACAACTCTGGTGTCTGTCTGGAAGGACAGAGGGCCCTTCAGAAAAGACAAGCCCCCATATTGTGCACGTGTTACAAAGTTTTCCAGATTCCAGGGAATTCATGCGTAATCTGGTCAGTAGCCCGGGGCTTAAGAAATATCTGGCAGTGGAATTAAGGTGTTAAACTTCTAACTCGAAAGAGTGAACGATGAACGAGTTCGAATGCTTCTAATATTGGCCCTTATAATGCGTATACAAATGTAAATTGCGTGAACGCAGGGTGCTCAGTCGAAACCTTGTGTAGAAAAACTAAATTCATACTACATTTCAAGAGATTAATAATTACGTACAAATTATTGCAGTAATATTATTCATACTTTAACACATTAATTAGACTTTGAATTAAATCAGATTAAACCCGAGTAAATTGAAACGAAGACCGCTATATGCACAGGAAGCTGTCGCTCTCAACAAACGTCATCGAGAAACTGGCTAACTTCAATAACTTCCGCAACCTGCGCGTGCTGTCTCTGGGTCGCAACAACATCAAGAGCCTCAGTGGCCTGGTGAGTCAACTCTATCGGGGTTTAGATCCATGGTATACGAACCCTGTCTACTGCTCAGACTACTACTGCTTAAATACACGTAGCATGCTGATTTATCGTCTGTGATTGGCTGCTGGTGTTACGAACTCTTAACAATATGTCAGTGAGATCCATCCTAAGATCGGAGAGATCTTTCCAATTATCGGTGAGGTCCAATTACATAAGGAGTGGCACAAACGCCTAATACAGCGCTGTTCCATATTACTGTTATTATGTGTGCTATAATACTTTAAACACTCAGCATTGATACAGCTCAGTTCTAACATTATTGTTCAGAAGAATGCAATAACGCTCGTCAACACTCAGCATTAATACAGCTCAGTTCCAATATTATTGTTCATAAAAATGTATTAACGCTCGTCAGCACTCAGCATTTCAGTGTAGAAAGCTTTAATAAAATACAGTACAATTCAGGAGGCCGTGGGGGAGACGCTAGAGCAGCTGTGGATCTCCCACAACCTCATTGAGAAGCTGAAGGGCATCAGCGCTCTCAAGGAGCTCAGGGTAATAAGATCGCTCTCAAGGAGCTCAGGGTAATAAAAGCGCTCTCAAGGAGCTCAGGGTAATAAGAGCGCTCTCAAGGAGCTCAGGGTAATAAGATCGCTCTCAAGGAGCTCAGGTGGCAGGATAAACGGCTGCTCAATGTCGTAGCTGCTGTCGACCCTGAAAATTTAAATCAATGAATTTTCTGGACATTAATTGCCAGGTTAGATATACATATAGACACAATTATACCTCATGAGGTACCAGGTGCTAATGACGCTGGAGTAGCAGGTGCTGGTGTATCTGGTACTGGTATAGCAGAAGCTGATTCAACATATGCTGGTTAAAGATAAAGAGGAGCTGCTATTTCGAGTAATGGTATAACTATAACAGGTGCTTGTATAATTGTATAACAGGTTCTCTACATCTCCTGCAACCTCGTCAAGGACTGGGCCGAGTTTATGAAGCTCGCCGAGCTGCCGGCGCTTGTCGAACTCAACTTCGTCGGTGAGAAGTCGTTGCAGGAAAGCGTTGTGATGGGGCCATGTGGGGCTAGGGAGAGAATCTTGGGGATGTAGTGGGGCTGTGGGGCAGTGGCAAGGCCATGGGGCTATTCTCGTAGTAGAGCCACGGGGATGTGGTGGGGTCATGGAGGACATCGTGAGGGTGATGGAAGGGTCGGGTCGGTAAACATGTGTGCAGCGGCGAGGGTCATGTGGGCCGTGGCAGGGAAAAGGGAACAGGGGTGGGCGTCTTGTGTGTCATGGCGAGGCATCTGAGCCATATTTCGGAGGGTCGAAAAGAACGTTTTCGTGAAGCAGTAGTGAGGCCATAGAGTGGTCATTAATGAGGCCATAGTAAGTCCATTGGAGTCATAGTCCACTTTTGTGCTCCAAACTTATCGCGAATTTCAAACTGACTTGATAAAGACCGCACGATTCATCACCCTATCGTGGTGTCATGAGCAGCAAGTGAACATCTCATGGCACTCTCTTAATTGGGTGATTATGGGTTCTACTGCCTTATCAACAAATCAAAAGTTGCCTTTTTGTTTAACCTGAACCTGGATTTTACAACCATAATTGCAGGTTACTGTATTTGTCCGCGTGGTGATTTGTGGGGCTATAAGGACTCGGCAAGTCTGACGCATGTGCGAGCATCTTCACTTTCTTCAGCTTGGTTGTCATATTGAACCCGTCTTATTTACCTTCTTTTGTTATCACATTCCACTCAAGGTTCTTTATTCTAGTGCTCGTTAACTTCAACATGACTGACATGTTGACTTTTCCTAAAGTTAGCATTAAACTCCCTAGTCTTCATGTTCTCCAATTTAACCATATATACAAGCTGACTCGTTAATATGTTGAACTTTTGCTCCATCTCCGGCAAGACTCACACCGCAATGTTCGCGAGAACTCATAATGCAGCCATGACGTTGCACTAGAACAAGCAATATACTTCATGAAAGCAGAAATTGTTCAAAATATTTATTAGTGAAAATGTCATCCGCCCTGACCAGGCAACCCATTGGAAGAGAAGATGACCGCAGAAGGAGGCTGGCGGGAGGAGGTGCTCAGGAGGCTCGTGTCGGTACAGAAGTTGGACGGACTGCCGCTCATCAGGGAGGTCTCTGACGACGTCTTCAGGGAGCCGCTGCCCTCAGGGACCGACCTCGACCACAATGATGGTAGGAGTCCTAAGGGGTTGTTAAATCCTAAGGTGGTATCTTGAGGTGATGAAAGTATTAGTGATGTCTGTGGTGGGTTTTTCAATCCTACATGGTGGGTCGTAAGGTGATGGGAGTTTGTGGAGAGTTGTTAATGATGAGGGGATTAGTGATGTCTGCGGTGTGTTTTTTAGCGCATTTTCTCATTTATGGAAAAAATGCACTATTGTGCTCGCCATGTCCGTCTGTCCGTCCGTCCGTGACCTCAAGTTTTCGTCGACGAGAAAATGCGCTCTCTGTCACTCACTGCAGTGAGTACTGAGTTATATTTTTAATCATATGCAGTGGGTAGTAAGGTGATGGGAGTTTGTGAAGAGTTGCAGTTGATGAGGTTAGGAGTGGCGGGTTGTGGAGCGCTGTAAGGCTGGTTGCTGATAGTGGGGGGTGATGGTGTGATTGTTTGGTTATTGAGTGATGAGGCGATAAATGGCGGGTTCAGGGATGATGAAGGGATATAAGACGAGTCGTGGCGTAATGAGAGGAATTGTGATTGATGGTGGCTTAGGATATGAGTGTAGAGCTGCGTGCTGGCTCATTGTTTCTCACACACACTCCTCTGGCCGTAAGTATAAACCAACTCAAACAAATGTCAATTGAATTTGATGAGATGAAATTTTTGGACATCAAAATATTAGTTCGAATTGTAGTTCAATGATGACGCCCGACAGATGATAGCGCCCCAGCGGACCCAATCACTGCCATCCACGCTGACGCAGTTGGCGACGACGGAAACTGAAATTAGGTCAGAGACCAGCAGGTGTGTTCAATGAGGCGAAGTTCCTGCAGGAGCTATTCAATGAGACCGAAGTTCCTGGAGGTTGTGTTCAATGAGACCGAAGTGCCTGGAGGTTGTGTTCAATGAGACCGAAATTCCTGGAGGTTGTGTTCAATGAGACCCAAGTTCCTGCAGGTGGTGTTCAATGAGACCGAAGTTCTTGCAGGTGGTGTTCAATGAGACCGAAGTTCCTGCAGGTTGTGTTCAATGAGACCGAAGTTCCTGCAGGTTGTGTTCAATGAGATCGAAGTTCCTGCAGGTGGTGTTCAATGAGATCGAAGTTCCTGCAGGTGGTGTTCAATGAGACCGAAGTTCCTGCAGGTTGTGTTCAATGAGACCGAAGTTCCTGCAGGTGGTGTTCAATGAGATCGAAGTTTCTGCAGGTTGTGTTCAATGAGATCGAAGTTCCTGCAGGTGGTGGTCAATGAGACCGAAGTTCTTGCAGGTGGTGTTCAATGAGACCGAAACTCCTGCAGTTGGTGTTCAAGAACACAGAAGTTCCTCCAGGCGTATCAATAAGACCGCAGTTACTGCCACTTCACGATCAATGAGATCGTGAAGTTCCTTCCACTATTGGCCCTGAGGCCAAAGTTACCGTTTTCGAAATATTCTTCATATTTCTCCTCGTCAAAATAAAGTGTACATATTTCCTTCTTAAGTGTTATTTATTTCAGAACAATGATCGTATCTAGTACGAAGATCGTCAATGGTTCAATAATTTATCTTAAATAAGGATAGTGAGCGATATGATTGTCTTACTGGCATATGACAGTAAAAAGTACAATATTGGAATATAGCTTTACTAGCAACTAATTAATATCTATTTTAAATCATTACACATCGGAGCTCCAGAGTATGCTTTGTCAGCTGATCATCATGTATCGGCTGTAAGGGAGAACAATCGAAGGCTTAGGTCAAGTAGATCGAGTCACACTATATATATGGCGGATGTCAGCATTGTTGTCCACGATTCCGTGGCGTCGTGTTCACCGGGTGTGGGTGCTTTCGTGTATTCTTTTTCCGAAAAAAATCCTCTTAAAATACAGCAGCCCTTCACTCACACAAAAATTCATCTATGCCCTATATAGATGAACTAGTCCATTTATTCGTAGTCCACTCATACCCTGTAATGCAAGAATGTCCTTTACACACACAGCATCCTCCATCCTCTCACACGTAATCACATCTGTTCACCACATTAGATCTCCCATGTCCCGCCATGCCCTGCATCGTTACCCATCCTCCCACTTGCACAACAAACTCTTGCCCTGCATAACTCAAATAACTCAGCAGAGCTCTGAGCTCAGAGATGCTGCGGGCTCTTGAGCAGTAATGATTATAACAATAACTTTCATTCAGTATAGTGCACTGACGTCACAAGCCACTGTCGAGGGCATCACCATCATCGTCACGCAGCAGGAGTATCTTATCCAGCCTTTTTATTACTTTATTTCCGTTTATTGTCTCGTAATGTAGCTAGGAGCGTATAAGATCTCTTGAATTTATTTAAACTTCTAATCCAAAGTAGATCACTGTGCATTTTGCGCTAACTTTTGTAGTATTAATAGCAGGGTTATTTGCAGTACTATAGGTGGTAGGTATAGTTATACGTATAAGATGGAATAGTATTAATAACAATAGCCGGCAAGACTGTCGAGGGCGTTAATAGTTTCAGCCATAGAACACATTAATTGTTGCTTTCTTGCCTGAAAGTGAACTAATTGGCACAGCACGTCATTCATTGCGAAGGCTAATGGATTAATTAAATCACGTAGTAAATACATCTCTTCTGGGGGATCCTAAGTTACCGAGTCCATGGGAAGGCCAAGACCTTGGGCGACTCGGAGTTGCTGCCGTTGCTGCCCTTAATTTGGTCTTACTTTCCGAGACGCTAGAGTAGTTCAAATGAGTCATGACCTTATTAATTAATATTTATTATCATTGGACCTTATCATGTTTCGCAAGCAGATATTCGGATCTCAATCATCCAACCTTGAGAAATAAATATAACACGATTCATATAAACTGACGCGTTTATTCCCATACCGAAAGTATCTGTTTCTGAATCATATCCATTTGGTTTAAGATACAAGAAAGCTTCAATAAATATGCATATGCTCTGTACGCCACACCGCTGAACATACCGTCGAGCATCGCAGAGATGAATTCGATATTCATGAAACTCGCAAGAAACTCATTCAGAGAAATTATTTTAAAAACATTCTTGCCTTCACCTTAACAAAATTGAGATGCGGGCCCGTCTCTGCATTAGGTGCGGCCTAGTAATGAGTTTGAATTGGTGAATTGAATGAGGACTGGTGCATCGCAGGTGCACCAATTGCATATTAATTCACGTTATTAGAAGAGTAGAAGAACGTGAGTTCAACTCATTGATGTGATACTAACCCGCAATGCAGGATTCGGAGATCGCACGCGGGAACTACAATAACATTAGCAAGACCAGTCATATGCCAGGCAAAGATCAGGGCGGACCAGCAAAGTAGTTCAATGCTTAATGTCCTCCCATAAATAAAACGGTTCAAGTCTCCATTCCGCTGCTTGCCTTTCCTACGGTTGCCTCCGCTCGTGGAAAAGCTAGGCAACGAAGGTAAAGAGTTTTGGCGCTCCATCGAATTACATTAATTGTTATTGATAGAGATGGAAATTGCGGCCAAAGGAATGTTACTGTTTGCAAAGTTTGTAGCTTGTGGCGGCTTCACATTGAAATATGTTCATGCGAATCCATTCCGTTAATGTTCAGAACCAAATGACTTTACTAGAACTTGAAATTATTATTATTGTTTTAGCGAAAATGCGTTATTAAAGTTGAATATATCAGGCAAGATTGATAAACGCATTAACCTCCAGCCCTGTTCCGGTCATTCGATTTAGCTATGACATTATTTGATTTAGTCATGCGGTTAAACCCAAATTTATAGACACTGTCGTCATCAAAATGGATATTAGTATTTGGTTCTGAAAGTTTGGGATCAGAAGAGGGTGATGGCAGGCTGCTCCCCTCATCGGGTCCTTGCTGGCTGGTAGGAAGATCTCCTATTCTCTCGTGTGCTGGCGGCTCTTTCGATGGTAGGCTTGGAGTTGTCAGAGATGATTGAGAGAAATCAACCTCTGATTTCCTTACATCGCCCATCACACCACCAAAGTCGTCATCGTCTCCAGCGTGGGGCAGGTAGAGCTCATGGTAAGACTTGGTGACCGTGACTGGAGGATCGCACTTATCCGTCACGGTCACGGTATGGTCGACGGTTTTGGTGGAGACGTCCGTAGTAGACCGAAGCAGCACGGTCGTCTCAGTGGCCGTCAGGGTTTCTGTTGACTTGACCGTGACCGTACTCAGGGTCTGCTCATGTGGCAAACAATATAACAATTGTGACAATGATATCTACAGAAATAATCGATAAAAATACAGAAGCAGAGAAAAGAAACCTTGACAACAGAAACATTACCGTTAAAATCTAATAACTGAAAAATATGACGGCATCCGTTCAATGAAAAAATTAAAATTCTCACCAAATAAATGATCATTTATGTAACTTCAGCACAAAAATATTCAAAGAGTCAAAGAGGACACTCATTCAAGAGGAGCCTCTTGAGGACACTCAAGCGGCTCATTAAAAACTTTAACCGATACTGACCGCCTGCGTCTTAGTGAAGGAAGCAGTTTCAGTCTCTGTTTCAGTGACAGTTTCACGCTTCGTTTCAAAGTCCGTGACTGTCTTCACCTCAACTCGGGTTTCCGTTATCGACTGAGTTTCGACGAGCCGTTGTACGGCAGTGATAGTAATTAACTTCGTCTTGAGGAGAGTTTTGACGAGGGAGGCCGTCTTGGTGACGTAGTTCGTGAAGGTGGACATGTGGGTGACCGTGTCGTAGCAAGACTCCTCCTTAGGTGCCCCATAGCCGTCGCTATGCCCGTACTCAGGAGGCTCGTACGGCAGGTCAGAGTAGGAGGAGAGGTACGATGGTCGTAGCTGAGGACCGTACGTATATCTTATGTTAGCAAAAGGCACGAACTGTGAGGCGTACGCCCCAGACACCAGCAGCAGCAGCGACACGAGCATCGATCCAACAATGTCCATGACAAGAAACTTGCACGGAACCTTGGAGCAAATCTGAAACGATTTGAAGCCCGATTGGTATATCGCGGCACTTAAAACTAGCAAATTTTATCAATACTAGTGACTAGCGAACTATACGGGCCAATTTTGTATACTGGCACATTATTTTCATATACGTACTTTTGACGTACATATTAGATTCAGATTGATTTAGATTAGTTTAAACTGAAAATTTGTCAAGTGAGCAATATTGTATACCGTCAATGTTACGTGAGTTAAATCTCAGCAAATATTGCCCTGAATTCGCCGCTCGTCAATAAGAACCATAGTATACTGCAGTCAGAATCCTAATTTTCAGTGTTCGATAACTACATAATAACTACTAATCAGTTTTGATCTAGCTAGAAGGTCCGGCTCAGTTTTGATAACAAAATAGATTGTTTATATTAAAAGCTGGCAACATCTGTGCGGTGGCGACTTTAGTAGCACTGTCATTGCATTGTCAGATTTTTGCATAGGGACGATGTAGTAGTTACTCGACGTATAATTCAACCATATATAAAAAAATTAGATAACTGATGGTATTCACATACTCATTTTCTGGACTGAATCCGAAATAAAATGGGTAAAAATGTGAATGATTGAGATTATGAGTGTGTGCGATAAAGAGCATTTGTACATTTCGTTCATGTAGAACATATACAAATTAGCATGATATGCCTTAAGGCAAGTGACAGCCCTGCCTGCGATGAAAAAAAACATGCTCATATGTATGACATTCATTGCATATGGTATAGAACTATTCATTCTTGCCGCATCATCATTAAGATTTAATAGTAGGAAGGGGAAAATAGATTTATCTAGGTTCAGACGATGACGTTAGCAAGAAACGATTGAAACGCGTCACATTGAGCGAATTTTTTGAACCTATACAATATAATTTTATATATACTTAGTTCGTATCTTTTCGCAGTATCTTCATAATTAAATAGCATAAGAATGCATGCAGAATCTCATACTCGAAATTTAGATCCTATGAATGCTTTAAGTGACACATGATTTGCATATTGACAAGCATTTAATTCAGTATAGGCTTTCTTCGTAATTGCAAAAAATGTGGAGCAAATTAACTATTGAAAATCGATTAAATATTTAATGCCCATAATGTTACAATTATCTTTGATTGCACGATCTTTACAAAACTTTTTTAATAATGTTTACGGGGAAAAAGTTTATAGCATAAGTTTTTAATTTCGTTCTGCTCGGCTGTGTGATCTATTTGAATAATAACAATATATTGACAAAAGAAAAAAATTAGTTTACTTTTCAATTAATAAAAGCTACTTTAGTTTCAGCTGAGTCGACAAGTGTTTCTAATTTAGTATCACATCACATCTGGTATCAGAAATTATAGGTTGGGACATGCCTGTTTCTCATCAAGGTGTCACTGCACCGGACGGGGCAGCATAAATAGACTAGCAACATCTGAGCGAAGGCCGCCTTTATATTTCCATTGAAAACTAGGGCGGGGTGGCCGCGGCCATGGCAGCGAGGGCAGGGGGCGTCGTCGCAGGAAGTAGTCTCGTCCGAACAATGGAAAACTGCAGGAAAATATTTACAGAACCGTAACGCAGGTGACGCGGAACACCGAGAGGAAGTTGCTGCGCAGATCTGGAGCTGCGAACTCTTCGAGTTGCTGATAAATCTCAAGAAACGAGGATGCTTTGTTGTTTGAGTGTTTCAACCACCACTTTCTGTAGAGACCTTGTCTTGAAACGATTGAAGGAATTAATTAATTAGCCTGTCTTACTTGTAGTGAAGACAGCCATAAGACGGTGAAAGTTCACTCTGGCAATAAACATTAATTTCAGGAAAACTTATCAAACAGAAGTGTTTTAAAATTCAACTTCATATGAAATTTTACAAACGACGCAAATTTAGGGAGCTTATAGTTTCTCAGTTACCAAAAATAACCATTCAGTCCATAGATAAGCCATGATCTTTCCATTTCTTTGCCTCACATCTGCGCAAAACTTCAAAAGAGCGACACCTCCTCTTAATAATAAACTTAACCACAAAATTCAACGAACAGAATTCCGATGAAAATCTTTTTTGGGCTTCACAATTTTATTGCGGTTTATTTCTATATGGATTTCCATTTTCCAGTTAATTCTTAAGTGTGCACATGTCACGTGACGTCATATAGAAGGCAATTTAGGCAAAGAAATTATAACTCATCAGTGTGCATCGTCACGCTGTGCCACTGTCGTCTGCAGGCCAGTCCCCCAACCTCCACCTGAGTTTGCAAGCCAAGTGCTGCATGAGTCGACTTGCATGCCGCCTCATATAGTGATATAGGCCAGTCAAATACAACATCAGCGTCGTCTGCTGACCCTTGCATCTAACCTCAACATCAACGTCGTCTGCTGACCCTTGCATCTAACCTCAACATCAACGTCGTCTGCTGACCCATAACCTCAACATCAACGTCGTCTGCTGGCCCGTGCATCTAACCTCAACATCAACGTCGTCTGCTGGCCCGTGCATCTAACCTCAACATCAACGTCTGCGCCTGCATCAACGTTGTACACCGCCCAGTTAGCAAATGACGCAATTTTGTAGTTTAATGAATCTCAAGAATATTTTTGTTCCAAGCAAAAACAAAGATAAACATGCCACAGTTATTTCGATCATAAAAAGCAGTGGAATTTAATTGCAAAAAATCAAACAAATACGTTGTTTCAAGACTTCTTTTTATTCGTTGTCATTTTGCCCACTAAATGCGACCAGCAAGGGGCAGAACGTAATGCAATAGTTTCGAATAAATACAATACTTCAACTTGCGTATGGCACAGTCCTGCGAACGATACAGAAGTGATCTCACCTTATGTAAGTCTAAAGGTAATTCTTTTAGTGTATTAAATTCACGTACGGGCAAAATATTAGAGAATGTTTGACCAAGTTTGTTATTACGGTGCACATACTTGTTATACGATCTATTGTGACAGAAAATCTTGTGTCAGAGTCAATAATAAAAATGAGTTAAACTTCTTCGTTCTTCGAAGTGCGGGTAACTCCAAGTATTTTAATAGCCGCAATGGTGAGAGCGCATATAGCAATATCTGAAATTGAACAATTTACCTTTATGCCCAAGACAATAATTGTATTAATGACGTACACGTTGCAAATGCCACGTTCTTCGATCGCCGCGTTGCTCTAAGGTTCAGGAGTGCGAGCCTCAGCATTTAGCTCTTGCCATTCAGGTGACCTTCACACTCGTGTCCGAATTAAATTATTATTGCCGTGTTCGCTTAAAAAGTAAAAAATGTATGAAGGAAAGTTTCCCTATCCATGCCACAAACAAAGCAATGTCCACATTTATCATGACACTCGATGCAATAAATCAAAATGCCATGGGTTCCATATATCGTTCCTCTATACTCGGAGTTTCCCACAAAGAAACATAACATTTTGCTCCAGTTGACTTTGACAATGGCTAGCGGAATGCCACCAGTGGCCGGACGTGCCTGACCTTGGCCGTGAAACAATTGATCAACAAATCGAAATAATTTACATCGACGTCGCTTTGCTGCCACACGCGAATTTGCATTATCGTGGCAATGAAGGCGGTCAGCGCGTTGTGTTCCGGCTCTTCTCGTGGCAATGAAGGCGGTCAGCGCGTTGTGTTCCGGCTCTTCTCGTGGCAATGAAGGTGGTCAGCGCGTTGTGTTCCGGCTCTTCTCGTGGCAATGAAGGTGGTCAGCGCGTTGTGTTCCGGCTCTTCTCTTCTCCTTCATAATCGATATACGAGTTTGTATCAACATTATTCTCATATCTCATAAATTTCCTTACGTAATAATTGGTCCCTAACATTTTTTCGTTCATCATGTTTACCGATAATACACCACTAAAGTGTAACCATGAGAAAAATTGGCTAGATAAATATTTTTGGATTCTTATCCTACTCTTCAAACGGAAAGTCCGTGATAGTTTGAAGCGAATTCAACCAAGAAATTAATTGGTTATTCCTATGGAGGCTGGGTGAAGCAAATAACCGCGGTTTCCTCGTTTCCTCAAGGCCAGCGAAAACTCGCGCGCCCTTCATTGATTGTCTGGTGATGAGAAGAAATCAAGGAGTGAGGCGGAGTGCTGGTAGTGAGCTGATGGAGTGGTGGTAGTGAGCTGGTGGAGTGGTGGTAGTGAGCTGGTGGAGTGGTGGTAGTGAGCTGGTGGAGTGGTGGTAGTGAGCTGGTGGAGTGGTGGTAGTGAGCTGGTGGAGTGGTGGTAGTGAGCTGGTGGAGTGGTGGTAGTGAGCTGGTGGAGTGGTGGTAGTGAGCTGGTGGAGTGGTGGTAGTGAGCTGGTGGAGTGGTGGTAGTGAGCTGGTGGAGTGGTGGTAGTGAGCTGGTGGAGTGGTGGTAGTGAGCTGGTGGAGTGGTGGTAGTGAGCTGGTGGAGTGGTGGTAGTGAGCTGGTGGAGTGGTGGTAGTGAGCTGGTGGAGTGGTGGTAGTGAGCTGGTGGAGTGGTGGTAGTGAGCTGGTGGAGTGGTGGTAGTGAGCTGGTGGAGTGGTGGTAGTGAGCTGGTGGAGTGGTGGTAGTGAGCTGGTGGAGTGGTGGTAGTGAGCTGGTGGAGTGGTGGTAGTGAGCTGGTGGAGTGGTGGTAGTGAGCTGGTGGAGTGGTGGTAGTGAGCTGGTGGAGTGGTGGTAGTGAGCTGGTGGAGTGGTGGTAGTGAGCTGGTGGAGTGGTGGTAGTGAGCTGGTGGAGTGGTGGTAGTGAGCTGGTGGAGTGGTGGTAGTGAGCTGGTGGAGTGGTGGTAGTGAGCTGGTGGAGTGGTGGTAGTGAGCTGGTGGAGTGGTGGTAGTGAGCTGGTGGAGCGTTGGTAGTGAGCTGGTGGAGTGGTGGTAGTGAGCTGGTGGAGTGCTGGTACTGAGCTGGTGGAGTGTTGGTAGTGAGCTGGTGGAGCGTTGGTAGTGAACGGGCGGAGTGTTGGTGTTTAATTAATGATTAATTAATACATAATTTAACCAGTTAGCACTAATATTAGATTAATTAAGTTTATTAACGAGATCGTGGAGATCGCGTAGAGTGATCGTCGTTGCACAGCCGTGGTCCAAGCTCCTCACATAATGAGCAGTGCACAGCTGATAGTGAGATCAGTGCCACCAACGACATTATCTTATTTCTTCTTTAATTAATTTCAGCAGCTCAAACCTTACCAATTAAAAAATATATTACTCAGTACTCACTGCAGTGAGTGACAGAGAGCGCATTATCTCGTCGACGAAAACGTGAAGTCACGGACGGACAGACAGACGGACGGACATGACGAGCACAATCGGGCATTTTTTCCATAAATGAGACAATGCGTTAAAAACACTCGACACTGTATGCAGTCCACTACGGTCTACGGGACACTGACATTAAACAAAATCTCCAACTATCAATGCATAATTATGTTGTGATTTTACCAGGCCTCCTTCCTGATTCATCTCAGGAGCGTTCTTAAGGGCATTCGTTCGGAGGGTACACATAATATCTTCCATAATTATCAGAATTTTGATGCAAACAATCAATTGATACCAATCGACCTCTACATCAAGGTACCGTTATGCTTCTAAAAATGACTCTAGGTCTCCAATATCATCGTCAAGAGTATCAACGTGAACACGGCGTACGAACGGCAATAAAACACGAGTACAAGAAAATCAATTGTATTGCGAAAAACTTGTTGTTGAGCATGAAAGTTAATGGCAATTTATTCCGTGTTTCGATCCGAACGCCCGATGTCGTCGGGCACGGTACAGCACGGAACTTCTGTTCACAGGTGCAAGATTAACAAACTAACTAACATTCAAGCTTACAAGATGGTGGCGCCCCAATTCTCGGCAAAATTAGAAGAGAAAATCTTGAATGAATCGTAGCATTTTAATGAATTCAAAAAGATCTATACTGCGCATATTCGGAAATAATGAACCACGCTGGCAAGTACTCATGATACAGAAAGCACATCACAAACAGGATTTGCTCTGATCGATGATGCTCTTATAAGCACTGTGTAGAGCCATCATAAGTAGCACGGGATCCCATCTACGATAAGGACTATAGCACAAGCTAAATAGAGCATGAATTTGACAGCTGTATACTTTGCATTATAAACGGTGCTCGAGGATAAACATGTTTAGCTCAAACTGTAGAGTTTGAGACGGGGATTTCTTGTGCATTTCTACCCAACTTAGGAGATTTCAAGGATTACGCAGGTACAGGTACGTACTGTTAAAAAAATTAGTTTATACATTAATAGAAGGGTTGAATAAAAGCGCTCACTCTAAAAGGGACTTAGGCACAACCTTCTTATGCATTGGTCGTTTGTAGGGTGTCTCCTTTGGCAGGTTATGCGCGTCGTACCAGCGCTGCTCGAAGTCGGCTTTGGTGAGGCGTGGCGGCGGCAGGCTGTCGTGAGCGGGACCAGCTCGTCTGCGGGAGCCTATGAAATTGTCCCGCTCGTGGTATGGTCTCAGAGGGTCGTCTGGATAGTAGCGTCTCATGCGGTAGTACGTAGTGACCTGAAATAAAAACATTGAGCCTTATGCCACAAGCCTGTACAGGCACAATGGAAGAACCTTCTGATCAGAACTGAAACGACACAGTTAGTGTTGGAGCAGTCAAAACTGACACGTCTGGCAAAACTCTAATTTAGCTAAAAATTACCATGTTATCTTCAAGGAATTTCAGGTATTGGCACTTCATGCGGTAACAGCGGTATATGAAGTGATGACCAAAAAATTCAGAAATGTTTGTGGTTGGATAGACAAAAATATCCTGTGGTATTTTTTTATTTTGTCAAATTTTTTGTTGTTATAATTCAGGTACCGGTAAGTCATATATAATTTAAATTCTCAACAAGCAGGTGATTCCGGCACAGCTAGGGATAGATGATCACTTTATCTAATTACCTACATATCTTTCTTGATAATTCATCAGCTAGTGTAATGGGATTGGGAAAAAGATGCATTCAATATCTGAATTGAATAACAGCAACATATTTTCTATGCCAAACTTTTACATATGATATGATAAATAATAGCTATCAATGCAATGAAAATTATACTAATAAAATGTACTAAAATTGAACAGCAAATTACAAATTTTAAGTAGCAACTCCGATTTAAGTAGCAACTTAAATTTGGTTAAAATTAATTATTAATTTATTAAAATTAATTATTAATTATTAATTAAATTTAAGCAACTTAAATTTAAGTAGCAACTTAAATTTGGATTTAAGTTAATTAAAAAAATAAAAGAAACTATAAATAATGATGAAGTCTGAAAAAATAAAGATTTTAATTAAATTAAGATCTATAATTCAATTTGAAGCTTTTGGATGAAAATTTGCCAGCAGTGATAACCACTGTTTTATACTAGGCCAGAATGTCAGGTGGTCAAAATATCTATATCATAATAAATAAATCTTGATCACACTTGCCATTTTATCAAATATTTGACCCTTTTCATGGGGAACAAAGTAGAACTGCTGGCAATGATGCTTCTTCTTACTGAGCTTGGCCCAGAGCTTCTTGTTCTGGCCTATCTCAGGTCGTATCCATGCCCCCCTGTTAACAAAATAAAAAATCATCAAAAATAAACAATGGATCAGAGACTCTTAAAAAGGCTTTATTTTATTCTTTTATTTAAAAATTAATTTCTTTCTTAACTACAGACATTGGTGAAGGGCAATGTTTTAAACATTGAGTTTGGTGGAATTGATAAAACAATAATTTTCAACTGTTACAGTAACACAAAACAGTGTTACTGTAACAGTGAACAGTGTTACAGTAACAAAACAGATGCAAATATATTTATAAATTCTATCAATTTGATAAAAAGGATATTATGCAAACATGCCTAGAAATTACACAAATCAAAATCTATTTTACATCCACAAGCATGTTCTTTGGACTGGTATTTTCAACAAACCAACCCTACCAGTGTAATTTGGTGAATCGCTTGTAGATTCCAGGGTGAGAATGTCGTTCTCCAGTTTCCAAATCATACTTAATTATTGAGCGAGTCAATTGTAGTTGAGGCACTGTCACTTGCAGGCCAGAAGGCTGACAAGACAGAAGTGGAGAACCAGTAAATCTGAAAAAAATTAATGAAAATTTAAGAATTTTACAAACAATACTAAAATAGCTTAGGTACTAAAACAATTAGTAAATATAACTAACCTATGTTACTAATTTCTGCATTAGAAAATTCAAAGATAAAAGTCAATATGAAAATTTTCCTATTCACTTTCAATGGAGCAGATACCAAGCACAATGAATGTGGAAATTCTTAGCTGTTATCAGGTCAATGTGCAGAAAGTGAGTAGGGTAAACGCACCATATTCCGACTTCGTGGGCAATTCCGACACTTCTTAACTTATTCCTTTATATTAAGCTTTGTTTTCCTTCCACGCATGCGTAGATGGTTTAAATAGTGATGTCATACTATTGCGCACCAGATTCCCGCAAAACACTAGGTCTGCCAGGTAAATGTTAAGATCCTCAGAGCGAAAGTCCAAGTCAACTAGTGAGAACATCGAAAAACGTGTCAAAGTTGATAGTTGACCTTGCTCTACCAAATAGTGATAAACTGTTTGTGTAGAAAGAATATTATGGTTTGAGACTTTTAAATAAGTCTGTGAATATATTAGGAATCCTTTAAGCATACGTACGTACCACCAGAAAAATTATTCAGAAATGCTTGGTATAGCGATCAATGAAGAATAACGAGTTAAACAAACTGGTATCGCAAAAATGTTAGAAAAGTCGCTCGTTTTACAATCTTCAGTGTTCAAAATTTTCGTTAGCGATAACACTGGTAATAAAAAGTTTACATAATTTATCTTAATGTCCACAGGCTGAAAATAATTAGCCATTATAGCATTCCAAATTTCAGATTTTTATCTTATTAATGAGGGGAGTTATCTGTCGAATTCATAGTTAAGAATTTCCATAGACGAGTAAGACGACTACCGCGGCTGAGCGCGTCCACGGGCCTCTTAATGTGTTGGAATATGGTGTGTTTACTCTAAATATCAAAGGATCTCTGTTAATGTACTGGCATTTCATAGGCATCTACATAACCAAATTGAGAAAAAAATACAACAACATAAATAGCTAACAGACCAATTGAATCAGTCTTAGAGGCATTGTGGGCAATTTCTATTTATCACCATGCAGTCCATGCTCAACTGACTCCTGAATTTGGGGCTTTTCTTTTAGGCAACTTATGATAAAAATCAAGCACAAGAACCTCTTTTGATAGGTTTCCTTTGTTTATTTATCTAGCTATGCTTCAATGAGTGTGGCAAAAAAAGAGTGAAGAAGTTTAATATTGTCAGATATCTTTAATAGAAATTATTCTTTAAAAAAGGCCATAATTTTATGTGCAATCTCCACAAACTGCCTTATTTTTTATAGGTAATATGCACCTTCATATCCAATTGCAATTAATGTCAGAGCCAAAATTAATCATGAGAGGGCCACAAAGCCCACAATGCTTCAATTCATAGATTAAATGTAATTACATTTGATGTTCACCAACACAAATAATTTTTGTTGTTACACAAATCCAAATTATCCAATTACAAATACTACAAATGTGCAGTTGCTTGGCTTGGAACTTCATTAATGATTCTTCACTGTAGAAATTGCATGCTGAAGATGGAATGCTGCAACATTGTGATACTTTTTGCCTATATTAATACCGAAGAACTCAAGGAAACGAGAAACAATGAAAAAACTTTAAGCCTACTTATGCTTACCTAGGTCCTAGCTAGGTACTTTAGTATTTGGACAAAAATTCAAATATTTAAAAAATAGGTAGAAGCATAACTTGCTTATTTAAAAAACACACAGAATTCAAGTAGGAACTATTCATAATATCATGTAAGAGTAAGACTCACTTTTCAGAAGATATTTTTATGTTTGATGATTTCCATGATAATGATTCGGTTAAACAGTGGAACAAGGAAGTCTGAGGCAAATTTTTACTGCAGATAGCCCAGTTTAATAATGTCGCACGAAATGGTAGCTTTAACATCTTGATCTACTATGGGCACGGCCAGTGCCGGACAACCGGACCACAAAGACTTAGCCTGTAAAGTTAGCAGGTATAGTGCCGACTGCCGAGCAGCCGAGGGAGAACAGCCCAGCACAACTAATATATTGAAGCGGAGAAGGCTCCGTCGTTCCGGAAAAAAATTAAGTCTAAAAAAGTTTTGGAAGTATCAGCAAAGGTTGCTTTCTGCATGGTTGCACTATACATGGTACTATACAGTATTAGTTCAACCATGGCTTTCTGTAAATCAATAAGTACCTAAGCTAAACGCAAATCTTCCACACACCTATCAGTTTTTTCATCGAAAACCTGTGTTTGGTTGTGTTTCTTTTAAAGCACCTTCATTTTACTCATGATGAATAATTTTTTAAATGTATGACTAAAATATAATTAATTTTATTTAAAATGTAAATTTTGAAATATATTACCACAATATATGACACTGAAATATAGGCGCCTCTTCAATGCGAGCTTTATATAAGGGGTACGAGTATATCGCTTCTGGATCTAGTAGTGACCCGAGTGATCTCTGTGATGGCTGGTCCCTGGTTTCACCAAACTCTCTACTCCTCCTTTCATGTGCTAATTGACGCACAATTTCAATACTCAACTCTCCCTCCACTTAGTGCTTATTCACACAGCAAATTCTACCAAAAATACCCCTTTCCTTGAATATTCTACCAAAAATACCCCTTTCCTTTTTTCATCTTACGACCAATTATCATTTCCTTGCACCCAGTGCTCTTTCACCACGCTAATATTCCCCCGATTTTGTTCGAATCGATTTGTCAGCTCAACAAGGTTGTTTTGTGTGGTCCCAACGATATAGCACCGTAGTGCATAGGCTCCGTAACTATAAGTGATTACAATAAGCGTAGTCAGCGCCATTAAACGTATCTCAATTTTAAGGACATGTTTATTATCTTTGCTAATATTTTACCAGCTCTTACCTTGTAACAGAAGAAGAAACTTTGGAAAACAACTTTCGTCTGTGCTGTTATTGCTTCAGGTAGTAAAATTTAGTCCACGCTACCATTTCAGTTCCACAATGAAGTCATTTCGTAAGAAACAGAGACTGAAAAATGTCGTATAGTGGTATAGAATGGTATAGAAGTGTCGGCATTGAAGAGATAGGCCCATGGCCTGTTGCCGATTCTTGAACTTTTCGTGACTTGATTCACAAGGGATCCGGCCTTTGGAACCCGATCTTTCCATAGCTGACGATTGATTGAGATAGCTGCTGGATTTATTGCATGGTCCGTAATTTGCTAGGCATTTTAAGACTGAACATATGCTCCAGCATAGCTTCGTCCGGACTTATTGCCTGGTCCGTAATTTGCTAGGCATTTTAAGACTGAACATATGCTCTTGCATAGCTTCGTCTAGTCTGTTTTTAGCTTCGTCTAGTCTGTTCACACTCGGAACGTCAACGATGCTATCAAGGAGGCTGTTCCACATGTCGGTGACTCGAAGCGAGAAGAAGTGTTGTCGCATGGATGTGTTACAACGCAGTTTTTTCAGTTTATAGCCGTGGCCCATGGTGTTGGTTCTTGTTTCCAATTCTAGCAATCTTTCTGGGACCTTGCATAAGCCATTAGTATACTAGTATTCTTCAATGAGGTCCCCACGCCTACGTAGATAACTGAGGCTTGGAAGATTCATAATCTTCAATCTTCCCTCATAGGACTTGCCTTCCAAGCCCGGAACTATCCTTGTTGCGCGTCTTTGAACATTCTCTATTAAATTTTTGTCCTTTTCAGATTGCGGTGACTACACGACGTTTCCAAACTCTAGGTTCGGGCGCACGACAGCAACAAACAACTGCTTCATCGCTTCTGCATCTAGGAACTCGAAAGAGCGTCTGATCAGTCCAAGTCGTTTATTGGCTTTATTAACTTGACCTTCAATATGCTTAGAAAATTTCAACTCATTGTCAATATTAACTCCTAAATCTTTTTCCATTGTTGACTTCGACATCATTCCTCTGTCGCTGCAACCCTGTCATCTCATACTGTAATCTTGCTGTTCATTATTCTTGCCAAAGTGGATAACTTTACATTTGTCAGCGTTAAAACGCAGCTGCCACTTATCAGCCTAGTCAACCGTCAACCAACCTGTCAAGATCACCTTGCAACTGTACTTTTTGCGCCGTATTCTTCACTGTATTATAAATTTTTGTGTCGTCAGCATACATCGAGCAAACGCTAGAAGAATAGGCCCGAGAACGCTTCCTTGTGGCACGCCGCTGCGCACTGAAGCCCAGTCTGATACGGACCCATTAATACTGACACGTTGTCGCCTCCCTACTAGAAAATCTCTGATCCATTCGAGTACTTTACTCTCATCCCAAAGACTTCAATTTACGCAACAGCCGCTCATGTGGGACGCTGTCAAATGCTTTGGCAAAATCAAGGTACACTGCATCTACTGGCTCCCTTTCGTCCAGCAGGCGGGTCCATTCGTTCAGAGTAGACAAGAGGTTAGCAGGTAAGTAATATTTTGAAAAATGACGGAGAATGAACAATAAAATGAAACCTAAAATGCCAGTACCATTCATAGATTTCATCGTCAACTTAGGCATTTGTAACAAGGTTAAGCGCAAAGATTAAAACGATTCAAAAGCAGCATACAAGTTCATCAATGATGACGCAAGGTGTCGCAAAAAATAGGTGCAATGTGGCATCATCGTGGTAATCAAACGTCATATGTTCACAGCATTTTTTTAAGGAAACTTGAAATACAAATTAAAAGTAAGAAATTTTTTAATATTAAATGTTAAGCACCAAGAACCATCTAATGCAAGTACCGCTTAATAATTTGTAAACGCTTCTTTTATTTACTATTATCCAATTGCTATTAAAAATAAATCACTTGTAGAGAGTCGGATGCGGATGAATTAAGGAATGGCTAAACGCTAATCACATGTTATGTTGGCATTCATTTATTTCATCTGGAAACGTGATGTCATTACATAAACTTATCAATTTGGGGCTCATATTTGTACTCAGGCATGAGAAATATGAACTTGGCCTTCACCTGAACTAAAATTTTGATGTTGAAGCAAAATAGACATACAAATCGCAGAACTAGATTACAGTATGTACAATCATTAACAAATATTCAAAACTTCTGTGATCTAGATTAAGCGCGTCGCTGTTGGCAAACAAAATAATTGGACACACGACATGACTCGTCGGATGCGAAAAGCTTCAGGTCTGGTCTGATTTGCATGCAGCGGTCGGCGCGCATCAGCTTAGGGTGGCCGGTCGCCCACACTTCATGGGTCACGGGTTGACCGCTGACCCACTCCCAGCGTCCCGCCTCCTTGTTTTCGCTCGCACCCACCCAGAAGCTGTAGCTTCTGCTCACTGCAAACACATGGAGATGATAAACATGGCAATGCACTGGCTCGTTGATTGCCTAACATGTTGCTCAGCAAAACAAGTCGTATTTAATGTGACAGCCTTGTGATAGCTCAACATGTGGCATGACTGTCCAAGTGGTGTTTAGCGTGTAGTAAGTGGCGTTTGACGTATGATAAGACAGCCAATTCAGAACTTAACGCGTACCGTGACCATTCTAGTGACGTTTAACGTATGATGAAATAGTTTTATGAAAACAAACTGTGAGGCGTCACCATCCAAGTGATGCTTAATGTGTGGTGAGACAGTTCTGTGAAATCTCAAAGAACTGTCTCACCACTCACACGATCGCTTTATTTTCAATCAGTACCAGCGCCATTGACATTATCAACAGTCACTACTTTCAACTCAATGTTTTCCAATGAACCTCAAAGCGAAGAAATCGGAAAGAAAAATTAGGAAAGAGCAGATGCCTTATTGATACTCAAAATCATTCAAATAAATATCACCATAATGGTGACAAGAATTATTACGTCTCTGCGTCTGGAGGAACTTCTTGAAGGCGTCGTGGTCGAGGGGCGCCGCGAGGTCGCCCTGCAGGTCTCGGCACCGGCCGCGGGCCGCCCCCCAGCTCAGCCGCTCGTCCGTGCTGACGTAGTAGCACCCGTCCCCGTGGGGCTTGTAGGGCCACACGCACAGCCCTGCGACATGGGTGTGTGGGGGAGTCTGGTGTGTGGGTGTGTGGGGGAGTCTGGTGTACGGGTGTCTGGGTGAGTCTGGAGTACGAGTGTGTGGGGGAGTCTGGTGTACGGGTGTGTGAGGGAGTCTGGAGTACGAGTGTGTGGGGGAGTCTGGTGTACGGGTGTGTGGGGGAGTCTGGTGTACGGGTGTGTGGGGGAGTCTGGAGTACGAGTGTGTGGGGGAGTCTGGTGTACGGGTGTGTGGGGGAGTCTGGTGTACGGGTGTGTGGGTGAGTCTGGAGTACGGGTGTGTGGGGGAGTCTGGTGTACGGGTGTGTGGGGGAGTCTGGTGTACGGGTGTGTGGGAATCGCTGAAACACTAGTGTGTGCGTGATGCTGACACGTGTGCGTGTGAGTGAAGCTGGAACACGTGAGTGTCGTGCATATGTTTAAAATCAATCGCACATGTTTCAATCTCAAATCGAGAACAATAAAAGCAAGGATGACACGTTTAAATGTTGAAACGAGTATCACTTTATCTTGTTACACGTTTCGCTGTGGCCAACGAGGTTCAAAGCTAGGCTGGAGATGGGAATAAATTTCGATGCGATCACCGGAATTGGAAATAACAATTTCAGGAGCGCAACTCTCAGGTCACAGGCACATGCGATAAGGCAAATCAGTTTCGCCCAGGGCGCCTGAATGCATCGCATGGTGATACTTAACAATCGTGTCTCACGGTATCGTTGTTTACAGGACCTTGAACCTGGACCGTGACATAGCATTGTCACGAAGCATGATAAGTGAACTCCCATGTTAATTGTTGGCACCCAAAGCCCGGGTGTGTTGTGGCGGTAGTCTTAAGACACGCCCCACCTTAGGTCGCACATCCTAAGTATGTGGGAATGGGAAATTCGCTATTCATGTGATGGACAGGATTAGTGAAGCCAATTCATTGGAATCGTGATTAGTATCATAGCAAGTCAAGAGTTTGTATCAAGTCTATGCTGTCATGAGATATTGTACCTACAGTCTTGATGGTACAAATTAGTTTCTTAATCTGAAATAATTGAAGAGATAAAAGACACTTTTAGATCTTTAAATGAATTTTTTGCAAGAAATCCCAGGAAAACTGTTAAGGGTAAATTTACAAAGTTGAAAACAATCTGCAATAAAATCGAGGGCAGTAAAATGAGAGTGCCGCATTGAATTTTTTCGAATATTTGAAAAGGGCTTACTTTGTTTCATTATATTTTAGCTTTTTAGCGCATTTTCTCATTTATGGAAAAATGCCATATTGTGCTCGTCATGTCCGTCCGTCTGTCTGTCCGTCCGTGACTTCACGTTTTCGTTGACGAGAAAATGCGCGCTGTCACTCACTGCAGTGAGTACTGAGTTACATTTTTTTCATTTTCATTTCTCTAGAGCCTTATTAACATTCCTAGCCACTTTGACATTCCTGTTAACCAGAATAGCAAAGAAACCATAAAAATACAACGAAGAATTCATTAAATACAATTAAGTTGTTGACTTATTCAAAGGCAAATATCTTGAAGCATTTCAAAAATTGTACTTCTCTGATAATAAAAAATCAGTAACGTTATTGCAACAGCGTTGATTTTTAATGTTCAAATCGCTTCGCACAATCAGCTTGTCCTTCTCCTGTTGGTTGTTCCACTAAAAGTTGACTTAACTTAAAAGCTAAAAATTCATCACGGAAGGGAAGAATTTCTCACTGTAATTAGATACATCAATACAACAGTGACGTGAGCAAGCAGCCGATGACAAGTTAATTTGGCCGGGATTTCCTGTTACTCGAGGCCGCGTGGCAACGCTAACGACGTGTCAATTAACTGTAACTGGCAATCAGCAACGACATATTAAACTCTGATTACAAAATCAACAATCTTTCTGCTCAATACCAGGAGAGCTCTAAACAAAGCCTGCATATAGGACCTGGAATTTCCCGTTACTGAAGAATTGTGATGACCACGTGAGAGGTTATGCTTACAACGCTAATTAAAGATCACCACAAGAGATTTAGATCACCGCAAGAGATTTAGATCACAAGAGATTAAGATCTTCACAAGAGATTTAGATCACCAACAGAGATTTAGATCACAACAAAATATTTAGATTACCACAAGAGATTTAGATCTTTACAAGAGATTTAGATCACCACAAAAAAATTTAGATCACCACGAGCGATTCAGATCGAAGCGAAAATTTACGTTCGCCGCGAGAACTTTTTACGCACCAGCGGCACCACTAGAATACTTGTATAAAGGCTTATGCAGCTAGGCTCAACCAATCTATGGTAAAATACGTCAAACAACAGAAGTTACTGTTTGCTGACATTTGCAGTCATAACAAGGAAGCTATTTTCAACGGTAAGTACATGGAAGTTACGATCACCGTAGTTATTTATTAGTATCCGGTAGCTATTCGCAACGAAGTAATCACGCAGGATGACGACCCGAGATATGCAGTTGCATTTCAAGGTCCCGGTGTCAGCGTGAGACGAAACACGCGATCGTGTCGCTCGAGAGCTGACGAATCCGACTAAAACATTTAATTTTTGTTTTATTATCTGAAAATTATTTAAGAGCAACATAAGTAAGATTAACTATGTATTTTTACGAATGATCATAATTCAGGTTATCTACCTCACCCGCATCCTTTTGATATTAAAAAAAAACTTGAAGAACTTGCTCGTGAAAACATAGACCGAATGAAGTGCAAAAACGAGCAACAGATGTGCCTTAATTCAGGGATACATCGCAATAATCGCTTGATCGACTTATAAAGTGGTTCGCTCGTGCATCGACGTAATGCTTAATTGATGCGTGCTGTTAATGTATTCCATATAACTCGACTACCAGCAATGCCCTTGGTCCTTGAGGAGTAGTTAGAAAATTATCTTGTTAAGGGAAGAATCAAAGGAATTTCGACTACAACACCCGCCCTTGCGGAACGTGTGCCTTTTACGCACTAGGAAAAAAATCTAAAGTTGGCGTATATTGATAAAAAAATATAACTCAGTACTCACTGCAGTGAGTGACAGAGAACGCATTTTCTCGTCGACGAAAACGTGAAGTCACGGACAGACAGACAGACTGACTGACGGACATGACGCGCACAATAGCGCCTTTTTTCCGTAAATGAGAAAATGCGCTAAAAATGGAGTTTCTCCCGCCTAACCTGCTATAAAGTTTTCTGGTGAGATGACAAGTACTGTGCGAAACTGCGAAATGGTTAGGAATTGATGAGTTTGGTGAAATTCAGGTCAGTTAGTGGCAATTTATTTCTGAATCTAGCCTTACCCACCCCAAACGTGAAACCTGTAGTTATGATCATTGTTGAACTCATGCCCATTTTTCCACCTGAGTATAAACATTCAGTTTCCATACACTCGTATACCTGCTGCCGATGAGTTGCTAGTCTTGAGGCGCTTCAGTTCATCCCTAAACACTTCCACTTCCCGGCGCAGATCTCGCATGCCTTGCATCTCGGCGTCCAAGTTCAGCAGTTTATCTTCCAGCGCAGATAGCTTGAAGGACATTGTCGCCTGAGCGGAAGCGGGTTCAGCGACATCTTTTTCTGTGTACTGCAATAAATAAACCTCAGATTCGGTTGCATTTAAATCTTTCTTACTCTCACTTCCTTCACTTGTTTGTTTCTGGGATGGAATCAAATGTTTGGTGGAGGCCTGCAGTGCGTCGAGTGAAGAAGATAAATTGCTGATATTGAATTTTAACGAATCAATTTCTTCCAAGAGTTTGTCCTCATTGCACTGGCAGAGAGAATTTGTTTCTTTCAATTTAGAGACAAGGTCAGCTTGAGAATTGATCTGTTGTCCCAAGAAACGCTCAAGTTTCGAGTCGTACGAAACCAAGTCTTTGTTCAGTTCATCAAGCCGTTCATGAATGTCTTCGAACTTGTTGGTGATTATGGACGTATTTCCAACAATTTGACTGACATTGTGGTCAACGAAGTTGATCTTAGGAAACGATTCGTTGCTTGATGTCGCATTAATTAAAACTTGCTGGGATAATGTTGATGCAACGGCACTTGAGTTTTGGGAACACGTTTTACTTTCATCAGTATATTTATGTATATCTGTAATGTCGCGATCATGAGCCAAAATTCTTTGCTCCTGACCAAATATCATCATTTTCAACGTTGATAAGTTTTCCATGATCAGAGTGATTTTTTCTTTTGTAATGTCAATGTGAGATTCGTGTCTCATTTTAACAAATTCCATGTCGCTGGCGAAATTCTTAGCCAAAGTTTCGTACTTGTATTCAAGGTGTTCGAAGAAAACCTTGTCTCGCATGGAAGCATGGGACTGCAAGATATCTTTGATGTCAATAAGTTGATGCAGCAGAGCGCCAGATGTATCATGATATAGCAAGGTATTATTTTGCGTGATTGCTTCAAAATCCCTTGTTGTATCTCCATCCAATCCATTGAGGAGAGATTTGTGTACAAGTTGTTGCAAGCCAGATCTCCCTTCAGCCGGTGAAATTCTGTTACTGTGGGCAGGCGTGCCATCGAACTCTGGATAAGTAGCTTCTAAATGCCGAACTCCTGATTCAAGTTCAGATATTTTAATTTTTTGTTGACCAAATGAACCACCATGTAAATCAAACAAAGGCACAATTTCATCGATCAACCCTGACTTTAGAGGACCAGAGATTTCTTCTGGAGCTGAGTATGTCAGAGACGGCGTGGCGGTAGGGAAAGCTGCATTCGAAGTATGATTCTCAATTTCCTTGTCGATTTCTGAAACATTAGATACGCGTTTTCTCATGCTTGCTTCATGCTTGTGATGCGAGAACTTGCAGTTGGGGTTGGCGTTGGAAGTTTTAATTTTTATAAAAGGATCTATGCTCATGCCTGAACTATTTTGCGATTGCGGTGTAAGATCGGTTCTCGAGATATTTGATAATAAATTCTCCTGGTCACTGGCCATGGCTGTGTGATTTGTCTCGAATAGGATTTTTCTTTCAGATGAATGGCCATGCAAGCACACGGAAGAGTGTGAAAATGCTCTCCGTTCATTTGTTTCCGATGTTTCTTGCTTGTCACTGTTAACAACCAATCTTGCATTGGTAGATGCACGTAAGGGCATCAGGAGTGGCTTTGGCTTACTTTCTCGTTTACTTCTACTCACGAAACGACTGGATTTTGCCGGGGAGAAATGCACGGACTTTGCGCGAATTTCTTCAGAATAATCGAACTTACGGCGATGCACGCTCTCGGGCGGCATGGGAGTAAACATATTCCGAGCAACCCGCATTGAGGAGGGCACTGAAGACTTTGGCAACTCAACGTGATATTGACATAGACTTATCACTGGGCTCAAAATCACCAGTACTAAAAATTCGAGATAAAACATTTTGCTCACGTTTGCAAAAATATCTGTCAATTTCGGAACAATTAGGTCAAAACGCACTACAATATGATAATCATGTACAGTACATGTAGCATTCGAAAATTTCAGAATTATAGAAAAAATGTAATGGTTAATCGCGGACCTTCGAAATTCCACTTTTCTAGATTACAAATCAAATACACTGATGAAATTTCTTTATTTTGGCATTCAAGTGTTTAGAGCTCGAGGGTATATGGGAGCGAGATCTGATGACACCTACACGCGTTGTAGCGCCACCTCAACTGACTCCTCGTTAATTATCGCAGCGAATTCTCCACCTCGTCGTTGGCCATTTGCTCATATGTATCTTATTGAATTATGTTTACCGTCAACAGATGCAGTTACACTTGTATATCATCAAACAAGCCTGGAGACTTTTTTTATGAGAATGTGACACATCAAAAGGAAAAAGTGCTTCCCGGCACGGATTAATGCTTGGCATTTCATATGAAACGGTTTTTCGCTTCCAGCGAGAATATTATATTAGAAAGCACTTTACAGTAGCAATAAATTAAAACAAATTGACGTCTTAGTCTCAAGGGTTTAGACTTTTTCTCCCGAGGAACAAAAAATTCTGACTTTCGCAATGAACCTATCCGCACGACTCGAGTCAAGAAACCAATCATAAGGCTTCAAATGACAAAAAAATAATTTTCGAGGATTTTTAACGGTCTCATTTAGATCTACACGTATTTTTTCACGGTTTATCGTTCTAATTAGAGCCAGAAGCAGAAGTTTCAACGCCTCGGGGCAGCCGGGACTTGTAAGTCAAGCAAGAGAAAGATCGGGCTTTCTCCTGCCCGACCTACTCGCGGCGTTTCATCTCTACTGTTATCGCTTATACTCGTAAATAGAGCCAGTTTTATCAATTAGGATAATAATTTTGCCCGATCTTTCGTAAATTATCCATGAGATATTTTCTTGAAAAGTATTCTTTGGGGTTTAAAAATAATTTAACACGATCTTTCTGAATTATCCATGAGATATTTTTTCTAAATAGCATTCATTCAGGTTGAAAAATTGGGTAAGACATTATTCATAGTTCACCCAAAGACTTGCATGAATATAATTATAGAATATTCTAAAAAATCTGGGACATTTGTCTTACATAATAACATTATCACTTTGATGGACGAGTCAGAAATCAAAGATCAATTTTGAAAATTGTGGGCCATTGAAGCTATACAGAATTTATGCGTGAATCCAAAATATCACATGCCAAGCTGAATTTTTCTTTTTATGACTGAAGTAAAAATTTACTACGAATCGTTATAATTTAGTTGTTACGTACTTTGTGTTTGAATTTCAATTTTAAGTAAAACGAATTTGCGGAAAACCTATTCTTGCCGATTGCGATTTAGTGTGCTCGATTGCAGCGCTAAAAACAGTCGTCCTTCATGCCAATTGCCAACGCCTTCCTTTCCCTTGGGGCCTTGGGCTGTTGTTTAGTTTTTTAGAAGCTGTATTTTTTGGCAGCAAGTGTCCAGCAATTACCTATATATAATTATAATGCCGCAAACGCTGCAGAGTAAACTATTAAATAAGAAGTTGAGAAAAGTGTTAGATAAGAAAAAAGAACTTACTGTGAATGATGGTAAGTTGCTGGTGAAAAAACTACTGGCTTGAGCCTTGACTTTGAAGTTGAGACTTAGATTTCGGTGTTGATGTGGAACACTGGCACGCTGCAAATGATCCAATCTTCTAAACTCCTAATAGGCTGGCTAGTGGCTAGTGCCTACTGCCTAGTGCTAGCCTACTATCAAGTCAAATTTTAGATCAACTCCTCTGATTTGCATCAATGAAATGAATTTTTCCAGCTTTAATTTCTATTTTTCAGTCAGTATTTAGTACTAATAAATTATCTACTCTTATTCCAGGGCGTGTGCTCCAATTTGGGCCAGTGCGCTTCAAAATTTCATAGATAGATGGTATTTAACCACTGTGCAGAGAGCATAGTGGCAAACCACAGATTTTTTAGAATCAGTTCATTTTTAATTTCCTCATTTACCCAAGATTTAAATCAATTTCTTATGTATGATACTTCTGGTATCCAGGATACTTTACTGGTCTACTTATAGGACTCACAAATGAACTTGAGGGAGAGTCTAAAAAACTCTCTGCTTTGCCACTATGGCAGAGAGTGGATGAATATTGCAAGATCTTTGGCGACGCTTCAGTAGCAAAATTTATGCTTTCAGACCATGGCCAGGAAGATGTGCCAGGTGCGCGGGAATTTATTTTGTCATTTTAACGACCTGCGCGGTGCGCCGTACTACGTTGGTAAAAAAATTGGGCCGTGCATAGTGACAAAGCAGAGAGTTTTTTAGACTCTCCCTCAAGTTCATTTTGAGTCTTATAAGTAGACCAGTAAAGTATCATGGATACCAGCATTATCATACTTAAGAAATTGGTTTAAATCTTGAGTTTTGGGAAATAATTTCCCAAAACAAATAATGCGTTCTATTACGATCTAGTGCGTTCTATTATGATCTAGTGCGTTCTATTATGATCTAGTGCCTTCTAATGCAATCTAGTGCGTTCTATTACGATCTAGTGCGCTCTATTACGATCTAGTGCCTTCTAATGCGATCTAGTGCATTCTATTACGATTTAGTGCATTCTATTACGATCTAGTGCCTTCTAATGCAATCTAGTGCGTTCTATTACGATCTAGTGCGTTCTATTACGATCTAGTGCCTTCTAATGCGATCTAGTGCGTTCTATTACGATCTAGTGCCTGTCTCTTATACACATCTAGATGTGTATAAGAGACAGACACAGCACAGTATAACAACATAACATAGCACATCATAGCATAGCACAGTATAACAACATAACACATTATAACATTGCACAGTATAACAACATAACATACACATCATAACATTGCACAGTATAACAAAATAACAACACATCATAACATAGCACAGTATAACAACATAACACATAACATTGCACAGTATAACAACGTAACATAACACATCATAACATAGCACAGTATAACAACATAACACATCATAACATAACACATAACATTGCACAGTACTGTATAACAACATAACATAACACATCATAACGTAGCACATTATAACAACATAACATAATACATCACATTATAATGCAACATAATATATTGTATTATATTATGTTCTGTTGTCCTGTGTTCTGTTGTGTTTTAATTTTTTATGTTATGATGTATTCTATTATATTAGGTTGTGTTATAATGTGATATGATATAGTATCATGGGTTATGTTATGTTGTGTTACAATGTGTTGTATCATGTTTGATTGTGTTATAATTTTTGATGCTATATTATGATGTGCTATAATGTGCTGGGTTGAGTTATAATGTCTTATAATGTGTTTTATTAGGATATGTTTCAGTATAATTTGTTTTGTTGTTCTATGTTATGTTACAATGTATAGAGTTATATCATGATTGTTTATGTTATAATGTATTGTGTCATGTCATTACAATGTGTCATGCTATGTTATTTATGTTATGTTGTGTTACAGTGCATTGAGTTATGTCATGTTGGTACATTATGTTGTGTTGTAATATGTTGTGCTATGATATTGTTTGTTATAATATGTTATGTTATAATGTGATGTCATGTTATAATGTGATGTCATGTTAGGGTGTGTTATAATGTGTTGTATAGTGATATGTTGTGATGAGTGCAGTGCTGTTGTGCAGTGATATTTTGTGTTGCAATGTGTTGTGTTGTTAATGCCATATTGTTAGTGTTACCATATTTTGTGTTATTCGCTTGTGTCGATCATTAAGCATCGGCCACTTTGATCGCAGAGAGCGCGCTTCTGTGTTGATCATTGGGCATTGGCTAAACCGATCGTAAATCGCGCGCGCTTGTATCGATCATTAGGCATCTTCCACTTTGATCGCAAAGAGCGTGCATCAGTATTGATCATTGAGCATCGGCTGAAACGATCGTAAATCGCGTGCGCTTGTGTCGATCATTAGGTATCGGCCACTTTGATCGCAAAGAGCGCGCATCAGTGTTGATCATTGGGCATCGGCTATATAGATCGTAAAGCACGTGTGTTTGTGACGATCGCCAGGCATCAATCGTAAAGCACGTGTGCCTGTGTTGATCATGCAGCATTGGTGAGGGTTACACTTCCGTTTTTAGCAAGCATATTGGCAACTTTCTTCCCTGGCGTACTGGCGTACATCCCAAAACGAACCTCCGGCTTACATGCTGCACCTTCCTGACCATGGTCCAAGCCAACCCAATGCAACCCAATCAAATTCAGCCAAACCCAACCCAATGCAATCCTAACCAATTCCGCCCAAACCATTACAACCCAAGCCAACTCAACCCAATCCTAACCAATTCAACCCAAGCCATTACAAACCCAAGCCAATTCAACCCAAGCCATTACAAACCCAAGCCAATTCAACCCAACCCAATTGATCCCAATTCATCTCAACCCAATCCTTCCCAATGCAATCCAACCCAATTCATCCTAACCAAATTTAACCCAACCCAATCTAACCAAAAGCAACCCAATTCAACCCAACCCAATTCATCCTAACCATATTTAACCCAGCCCAATCAAACCAAAACCAATTCAACCCAATCCAATTCAACCAAAACCAATTCAACCCAACCCAATTCAAATCAACCCAATTCAGTCCAACCAAATTCAACCCCACCTAACTCAAATCAACCAAAATTCAATTAAACTCAACCCAATTAAACCATACTCAACCAAAACCAATCTAACTTGTTCCAACTTGATTCAACCCAATTCAACCACACCCAACTCAATTCAACCCAACCAAATTCAACCCTAATTAAGTCATTCCAGCCCAATTCAAGCCAACCTAATTCAGTAAAATTAAATAGACTGAATTAGAATGTGTAAGAATGCATTATTTTATTTGATTACACTAGATTTCATGGCAATGCATTAGAATGCACTAGAACGCAATAAATTGAATTAGGGTACCTACATAAGATTTCATTAGGTTACATTAGGTTACATTAGATTGCATTACATTGCATTAGGTTACATAAGAATGCATTAGAATGCTTTAGATTGCAGTAGAAAGTGTTAGTTCGAATTTGAATGCATTATATTGTATTAGGTTATATTAGATTGAATTAGAATGCATTAGCTTACATTAGGTTACATGAGATTGCCTTAGGCTACATTAGATTGCCTTGGGCTATATTAGATTGCCTTGGGTTACATTAAATTGCTTTAGAGTGCAATAGATCATGTTAGAACACAATAGATTGCAATAGAATGCAATAGATCGTGTTAGAACACAATAGATCGGGTTAGAACGCAATAGATTGCGTTAGAACGCAATAGATCATGTTAGAACACAATAGATCGCGTTATAATGCAATAGATTGCGCTAGAACGCAATAGCTTGCACTAGAATGCAATAGCTCGCGCTAGAAGGCAATAGCTCGCGCTAGAAGGCAATAGATAGCGTTAAAGTGCAATAGATTGTGTTAGAACGTAATAGATCATGCTAGAATGCAATAGATTGCAATAGAACTGTTAGAATACAATAGATAACATTAGAACACAATAGATTGCATTAGAACACAATAGATTGCATCAAAACACAATAGATTGCGTTCAAACACAATAGATTGCGTTAAAACACAATAGATTGCATTAAAACACAATAGATTGCGTTAAAACAGAATAGATTGCGTTAAAACACAATAGATTGCGTTAGAACACAATAGATTGCGTTAAAACACAATAGATTGCGTTAAAACACAATAGATTGCGTTAGAACATAATAGATTGCGTTAGAACACAATAGATTGCGTTAGAACACAATAGATTGCATTAGAACACAATAGATTGCGTTAGAACACAATAGATTGCGTTAGAACACAATAGATTGCGTTAGAACACAATAGATCAAGTTAAAACGCTATAGATTGCGTTAAAACGCTATAGATTGCGTTAAAACGCTATAGATTGCGTTCGAATGCAATAGATCACGTTAGAACACTGTAGATCATGGTAGAACGCAATAGATTACGTTAGAACACAATAGATTGCGTTAGAACACAATAAATCGCGTTAGAACACAATAGATTGACAAGTTTTTTCAGCAGTAGCATTGGGCTTGCCAGACGTATGCACATTGTGATCAGGTGATAGATACAAGTAATCAAACAAGCTGAAGATGCAAGCGGTGACTGTGGGGCTAATCAAGCAAGCTATAGTTTATGATCAGTCATGGTTGCCCAAGCCATAGTTTATGATCGGCCATGGACGCCGATTTAAGGTCTAGGTGGCTGATGGAGAGCTTGAAAAGACGCCAATATCTCGAGCTGAAAGGCCCTACTTTACAGCCTGGTTCACTGCATCCTGATCCTTCTGGCATACCGGAAAGGCAGAAACCTTACTGTGTGTATCTGCGGTCTTTCAGATTTCCAGTAATTTTGAAGTTATTTCTCATATGCAATAATTTCAATCCAAATGTGTTGGCAAGTCCTTCAGAAGGCATAAATTTTGCTACCTAAAGATGCATTGCCAAATATCTTTTGATATTCACCCACTTTCTGCACAGTGGGGTGAATGAGGAAATTAAATAAGGACAGATTCTAAATAATCTCTGGTTTGTCACTATGAGTCTGAGTGGTCTGACTGCTCTGACATGACCACAACCATGCGATCTTTTAGGAAACGTTTAAGATTGACTTGTTGTTATTACGTTGCGCAGGATATTTTGGCAGGATTGTCAAAGTATTTTGGATTGCGGAAGTTGAAAATTTTATGAAACAACATTTTTGCGGGGTGCAAGCTGCGATTTTTTCAATAAAAGAAACATACATGACATTAGAGCCGCAAGATTTCATACCTACTGAAATTATATGAAAATATTTAAAATATTTTAAAAAGTGGACTTTCCCAGCCCTGATTGATAGTATATACCAGTATACCTTACTCTCCACAAAATTTTTAAGCAAATGAATAAAATGAAAACATGAATGAAATGTTTAAGCAAAAAGTTCATGAAATACATTTGAGTAATATATGATGCTTTTTAGTAGAGTTATGAATTTAAAGTTACAAATTGAAAAGCATAAATCAGAACAATAAAAATCCATGCTCAAAATTATGTTTTTAATAATAACCTCATGACAAACATAATAATATTGAACTTGATCTTAGCATGATTGTAAAGACATGGATTGTGTTCAGCTAGTGGTCATGTCAGAAATCTGAGAAAATAGTATATAGTTTCAGTTTTCTAAGCAACTGAGTTGCAATAAACAAAATCCTTTTATTAGAAATTTCTATAGAATAAGCAAATTAGAGTAAAAAACATATTAAGAACTTTAATATTTGCATCGAGATATGTGACCTATGACTTGCATAGTAATACCAGCTCCAATGCATGTACATTGCAGCGCAGGATGATTCAATTTCAAGCAGTAATGTCTAATTGACTCTTGCATCACTTTAATTCAATATATATCTATTTCTGATCAGTCATGGATGAAATAATCTATTAACAAACATCAAAAGTATTAGTATGGTATCTAACAATAATTTTGCTGAAAGCAAATAAAAGTTGACTATTCTTCCAAATAGAATAATTTCTTTCCAGGAATAGATGTTTCAACTATTTGCCATATTTTTGAGTAATATTTGGGTATCTATTTGAAAAGTGTGATGTATTTTAGACTATTGAAAATATTCAAATTTCAATTAATTTCAACTGATTATTGTGTAATTTCCTCTAATATTTTAGAGGATCATTCAGGTGAAACCAATCATTGGTGTTTCTCATGGTTAATGCAAGAAAATTGTGATTAAACTGAATATTAAACTGCTCAGAATACTGAGAAACCAAGAAATTTATAACTACATTGATGAATTAATCCTTGGTTCGAGTACAAGAACGTCTGAAAATTGAAATGAAGTTTCAATGATATCAACACATAACAGCACAGCAATGTTCCTTGACAGGCTTGAGTCTTGAGAGCAAAACCCAAGCTCCCAACATGCTCCTCTTTAATAAAAAAAAAACACATTTGAAACCACAATTTAATTTTCATCCATTAGCAAGGAAATTTATATATGAACTGGTTTATGCTAGTTTTGTATTTTATGATGTATTACATATAAATATAAAGTTTGCTGACAAAATTTTTACACAGGAACTGCTCACTTGCCATCCTCGTGTAATGGCACCACAAGCAGAACATATGCAAGCATTGAGCACCTGCTGGCTCCCCCACTGTACCAGGCCATCATGAAGATGGGCTTGACGCACCTCACGGAGATTCAAAGCCGCGTGTTTGATCTTCTCCTCACAGGACAAGACAAACCTTCTATCAAAGCAATTGCCAAAACTGGTTCAGGCAAAACTTTGGCATATTTAATACCTCTAGTGCAACTATTACAAGATTTAAATGTTGATGCATCAACAGGTGGGTTCATCTTGTTTACTTTTATTCAGTTTCAGTTTTGTGGTTGTTTTAAACTACCTGACTATCTGGTGCTTAAAAGAAATGAACAATATTTGAAATATTATGCAGTCATAGGTCTAAAATCACATAATTTTGGAAATAATTTAACTTCTTGCTAAGAAATCTGTTTTTCTTTGTTATCATAGTCTTAGTGTTTTTTGTTTGATGAACTGAAAAGCATTCCTGTTAAAATGTTGAAGATCTTTGTGCTGCAAGTCAAGTTCCTTTATCCCCAGGTACTGTGGCTATTGTAGTGTGCCCCACCAGAGAGTTGGCCATGCAGACATATGCTGTACTCAATGACCTCATGCAGTTCTGTAAACAGCGCCCTGGTATGGTGCGTGGTGGCGGTGTCAAGAAGGATGAAGCTAAACAGTTATACTGGGGTGAGAATTTTCATTTGGTTGTTGAAATACATTGCAAAAAGATAACTGAAATTAATTCAGATGCAAGTTGGGGTTACCCATCATGCTGAAGTGATCTGTGAAGTGTTTGTGAAACCTGTTTTACTGGTCATTTGTTATAAATTCCTTTTCATGTTGGAATTTTTCAGAGGTTTATATGCTAGCAAATCATTCCATTTCTTTGTGAATATGCTAAGAATCAATCAATGATATCTAAAAATTTCAATGGTAATTTTTGCATTTGGTTCCTTTCAGTTGAGATCATTTCATTTTCAGTACCAGTAGTCATATACGTAAACCCATAGCAGCCAAGCTTCTAATACATTCTACCCATTGCCTCACACATGGGCTTATATGGTTACAATTGAATAAATTTAATGAATTTTAAATTTAGATGGAGATTCCTTATCAATAGATAAATGTCCACATGAAGAATAAAATATTTGTCAATTGCACTGTGATAATATTGCAAATATTTATATTTTTTGCTGCCATGAGGTCTACTCTCTTGTGTTTTGATGACATCAGGGTTGTGTTCCACACTTCACCGTTCATTTTACTGTCATTCATTTTATATTATTTCTGTCACAAACATGTTTTCAATTCTGAAATTGCCTCATTTCTCTTCAGGATGCAGCATTGTGGTTGGCACACCAGGCAGGCTGATTGATCATCTCTATAATTCAGAAGGTTTTATTTATAACAAATTCCTTTCTTTGGTCATTGATGAAGCTGATCGACTTTTTGAGATGGGATTTGAGAAAGAAATGAAGAAACTTCTTGATAAATTGGGTCGTGAGTAATTCTAGCTGGTCACTCAAAAATTTATCTCATAACTTTGTAATTTGTAGGAGTTAAAAATCTATCTATTCATGATGTTTGAATGGATTCTCTCTATCAATGTCTCCCTGAGTTGACAAATTTGATACTAAACAATAAAGTGATCAACATATTACAATATATAGTCATTAAATTATCTTATGAGCAAGTACTTGAAATGTTAGACAAAATAAATCTGTGTCCTGCATAATATTCTATATTTATGCATTTATTGTATTGCCTAAAATTTGAATAAATATTTCTATGAGTGACATTAGAGTTGTAATGTGGTTACTTAAGATGGTCCAGCTGAGCATGTAGTTTTCAGGACAAGATGGATGCCAGACATGGGTGTGGTGCAAGCAATCTATTAGACGAGTCAGTGGTGGCAGTTTATTCTTTTTCTTTACATTGTGTTGTAAAGTTTTAACTTTAGTTACATGTTAACTAATGTCACTATCCATCAGAATCTGGTAATGGTCATCAGACGCTTATGTTCAGTGCAACAGATGACACCAAAGTTCAGAAGCTGGGCAGCCAGGCTTTCTACAGCAATAATAAAGGAGTGCCTGTACAAATCATTGACTTAAGGCTATCACAAGAACAAGCCACTGTAGGGCAGTTGCAGCAAGGTTAGCTTACATCCTCCTCATCTATAATTTTAGTTCTAATTATTGAATATGTCAGTCAATGAAGTTGAATAATTTCTTGTTCTATGGTAAAGAATGCACGAGATAATCAATTATCTATAAATATCTTCTTGCAAAACTGAAAATTATAATGATGTTTTTTCTTGTGCTTTCTATGACTATCATCCAGTGTGTTATTTAAAATATTTGAGGGTGAGCAGTATATTGTGTAATTTTCAAAATCTTGAGAATATACCGTGCCAACTGGGTAGTAATGTGCCGTCTGCAGACAGCATTGCGTAATTTCCTGCTATTTGTTTGAACCATTCTTCTTAACTGAGAGTTTGCATAGACAACAAGGAAGCTAGGAAAAATTCACTGTGAAATTTAAAGAGCTGTATGAACTAATGGAAAATTAAAGGGAAGCTGTACAGTGTGCTTGAAGGAAGGTACCACAAAGAATAATTCGATTCTGAAAACCAAGAAGTGGTAAACAATTAATTCTTCGGTCTCTTTTTTTCTTTTTTTTTGCATTTACATTGCTGAGAAAAGTGATGCTAGTGCACAGTACGTGGAACTTATCCTATTGTATTTTGAAGAAATGAGCTTTCTCGTAACCTCTAGAGCAGCTGCCACACTACACAAGTCCCAGACCACTCGCACAAGTCAAAAACCACACTATATACTAAACATTCACTCCATAAAATACTGTCAGAGACTGTTTGCTTGAGATAGTTTTAAAAAAATGCTCTTAATTTCACAATATCTTGCACACTCAGCAATAAGGCTTCCAACCTTTGTTTCTCCTCCAGATTACCTATTTTTTACCTCCTTTGTTTCTCCTCCTCCAGATTACCTATTTTGCCCAAGTGAAAAAAGATTCTTCGTTTTATATTGTCTACTGGAGAATCTTCGTGCCAAGAAAGTGATGGTGTTTGTTAACTCCCGCCACAGCATTGCTCTCTACCAAACACTGCTGAGCAGTCTTCATTTGCAGTGCCACTGCATTCACGTGAGTTTATTAAATGTCGCTGCTGGAGCACTTGTATGTAGAGCACAAGGCGATGTGGCTGCATCACCCAATATTTAATGCAAGTCTCCCTTTGTGCACGTTTTCTGCTTGGTAAGGCAAATTTCGTGGTATACAAACTTTCTAAAGGCAATCCTACCTAATTATTAAACTACTTCGAGAAAGCAAAAGTGTAATTCAATCGTAACTGCTGCATTAAATATTGCTTTAGAGGCTCAAAGTTTTTCGCAGGAGTCACGTCAATTTATTAAATGAATAACATATAAATTACATATAATCTATAAATTATTAAATGAATAACGAAATTTGTTTTAATATGCAGGGCCAAATGTCACAAGAGGAGCGCAACGTGATTTTCAACAGGTACAACAGAGAAGGTCAGGGCGTACTGCTGTGCACGGACATCGCAGCGAGAGGCTGGGATATTCCTGTAGTGGACATCATCATCCAGTACGATCCGCCTGATGACCCGAGGTATCAATGAGACCAATCGTCTCATGTTGGCATTGATGGATATTATTTTCTGATTGAAGGAAGATATGATTTTAATAACTCAGCATTGAACACTGGTATACCAATTTATGCGTCCGATATCAATATTTATGGGAGCATACATTCAGCAGAGAATATGCATTATGTTACATAACATACGTCCGCAGGGAATGTAGTTTGAGGTTAATGAACATGCATCGACAGAGGTGTTATCCAGTATTGCCAAACATATCATCTATTATCTTCCCACTTGTCACAGGGAATAAAGCTACTATTGCTGTCATGCCGCAGGGAATACATTCACCGCGTGGGGCGCACGGCGAGAGGAGGGCGGGAGGGGAAGGCGCTCGTCTTCCTTCGTCCCGAGGAGTTCGAGTTCGTGAACTTCATGCGCGCGCACAACGTGCAGCTCACCGAGAAGACGGTCGTGTGGCCGCTGCTCGAGAAGTACCATGCTCAAGATGTCAGTCTCCTGCCTCTCTTTTCTCTTCCATTTTGCCTTGTAGTACATTATTGTTCTTGCGATACTAGTTATATAATTGATGTTTATTGAAGTTAAAAATATTATATCTTGCAGCATAATTTTGGCATAATGTTTTTACGTAAATTTAGACAAGGGTTTAGCTCTGAGTTCAGATTTAAGAGACACTTCGAACACTAGGTAGGTATATCTGTATTGATATCTCTAATTCAATGTGACATGTTGGTATTTAATCCTTTTTCTATTAACTTTAACTTTACTTATTAGAGATAAAAGCATTGGTGATGGTTTGCTAATATAGGTAGGTTTAGACAAATGTCTCGCTTATGTTCCTTCTGAGCGGACAAAGTCATCTGGATTTGAAAATTAGTCATAATTGGGGTGCTAACTTGGAATTCAACTCATTTATGATTTTGTGTTCGCTTTGCATTTTAACTTGGCTTAGTTTAGAACAGCATTCATCATATATTTTAGGTCGCCTTACATGTAGTATTTCAATTCACCCATTGTTTTACAGTTCAATGCGTCGTTTGTATTGAACATTGAAGGTGCGCATGTTTCTGTATACGTTTCAATTGTAAGTATGTATTATGTTTCATATCATTATTATATGTATTTGTTTAATTTTTATTGAGCATTGAAGTAGCGCATGTTTTGTACATGTTTCATTCGTATTGTTGACAGTACGCTAAGATGCAGGAGCTAGTCGATCGCAATGGCTTCATGAAGACCCTAGCCAAGACCGCTTTTACGTCGTACATCCGCTCCTATCTCTCGCATGGCATCAAGTACATCTACAATAAGAACAACCTCGACCTCAACAACGTGAGTAACTCCACATCAATCATCAATAATAGTCGTATAAAAGAAGTAATTCATCGTTAAAGTAAATTCACTCGTCATAATTTTATGCTAAATGTGGCCCAGTGGTTACAGTTCAGAGTATCAGTGTTGGAGCAGAGAGGTGCGGGTTCGATCAAAGCTGTGTGCTACTGTTCTGGTCAGAATAGGCGAGGAAGTCGGGTGGTTAAGCAAAGCAAAATTGAAGCAGTGAGTTGCGTGTTCGCAACCGCGACAAGCTGTGAACGTTCTGCGATGCTAAGAATAGGCTAAAGGCCTACTGCCTAATAAACGCTAAAACCGCTATTATTATTCATTATTATTATCAGTTGAAAATCCAATACTCATTCTTTCGTAATCATATGGATAGCCAAACGATTCATGTTTAGTTTGCAACATAGATATTGTAACTATGGTATGGTAACGTAGGTATTGTAGTCTACGAGCATTTATGATGGCACTAGTTATTGCCTACTTGGTTCAATCATTGTGTCATTTTTTCTTCGACATTAAATGATACGGCAGCTCACTATATGAATGAGACGAAGCATTCTGCTATTCCACTCGTGACGAGTCATCAGAACAACAATAAATTCAAGATTTCTAACTAATTACTAATCCATAACCAATTTTTCGGTCCCTTGCAAAAGAGATATAGACTCAATATCTTAATTTATTTCTTGTTTGGAAATAATTTGTGAAGCTACTGTTTTGGTCTAACAAACATCTTGTCAAGTTCTAACTCTCGTCAGCCATTAATGAATTTGGTGAATCTTGTATTGAATATTAGTTGCATCAGATTTTCTGGTGTTTTCTGGTGGTACTAGACAACCAGTTCACATTGCTGATTAATCCATACTCTCTTGCTCAGGTTGCAAGGAGTTTCATGTTGAAGGAATCCGTATTCAAGAGCACTCATGACGCCATGGAATTCCAAACCAAACGTGAGAAGAAGAAAGCCTTTGGAAAACAAGCTTTTAAAAAGCCTTATGATAAGAGATCATAATAAAGCTGTACTTTTACCATGATCTTCAATTCGAACCTGAAATGATCAATCCTGCTCTGATGTGGATAGGACTGAAAAAAATTATTTCAATTATGATTTTCACGTTGATCAAAATTATTGTATGACATTAATCTGTAACGCATTTACCAGTTCGTGAAGTAAACTATCACAATTTTTCGATTGGGCTTTTGGTTGATCTAAGTTTGAATTATTGCCACGTTGGCGGTGGGTGGGAAGCTTGGACCTTAACTGACTTTACTTAGCACTGATTTTTCATAACTTTACAAGGAAGTTGAATGAATAATTTTCTTATGTAATCAAATTGAGTTTACAAATTTTTATAAACTGAGCTCTTCTATAAACTCCCAGCTCTGTGCGCCAGTTTCTGGTCAGAATCGGCAAGGAGTCCGGGTGGTTAAGGGGAGCGTCTAGGGACAACATTATCTCGGTTATTTACAGACGGATCGATTCGAAATTTGGTACACGTATGTAAAACGGAATTCTCAGACTTTATTATTACGTGTGAATTTTTCGAAAAAAATGAAAGAAAACGTGAAATTATTATAAAAATGGCCAAAAAGGGGGTACTTTAGAAATCCTATCTCCTCCTAGGATTTTTCAAGCTACAACATCTAAACGCATATCATTCGATACGTAAAGACCATATCTAAAAACATCTCTTGGCGTTTTTTGGATATCTCATTTTTATGGGTGTGGGAGCTTTTCTTCCGATATTTTTTCGAAATTTTTCGATTTACCCACGCCCTCCCCCACTTTTTGCAAAATACTATACTATAATCCGAACTATAACGAAATTGGGGAAACGACCAAATGACGTTTGTAGATCTTTTCTTTCCAAATCGAATGGTATATGTCTCATTGATGTAGCTTCAAAACTGTAGGAGGAGATAGGATTGCCGTGAGAGAGGTTTTCAGCTTTGGCAACTTTTCGGTAGATGCAAAAAACCGCCGCGAGGCACGTAACGTAGCCTAGATACCAAAAGTAAGCATCAACTCGCTTCAAAGTCAGTCATCGGTGCATGGAGCCACTAAATGAACACCATCCCGCGTGCTGTCTGTGAGGTTACGGAGCTCTAGCCGAGTGAAGAGCACATTTTATAGTTAATTTCCCCCCTTTGGAAGTCCCCCCACCCACTTCCCCCCTTACGGGATCTCGTGAACGCATAAATCAATGTACAGAGTTGGTTCTAGTACCGTTCGATGCGGCAGAAAGTAAGCTTTAAGATGAGTATAAGAACTGGGGAGTGTCATAATTAACCGCTTTACATCAGACGATCCCCTTATGGTGCCCGGCCTGGTAATTTCCGCCTTAACTTTACTGAAGGGGCCCGGACACTTCCCCTTTTACGGGATCTGTTGTGAATGCATAAATCAACGTACAGAGATGGTTCTAGTACCGTTCGATGCGTCAGAAAGTAAGCTTTAAGATGAGCCTAAAAAACGGAAAAGCCAAAATTTCAACCTTTGGACCTAGACGTTCCCCTTAAGCAATGCAAAATTGAAGCAGTGAGTAGCGCGTTCGAGACCGCAACGAGCTGTGAAAATTCTGCGATGTTAGGAATTGGAGGACAAGCCTTATGCCTAATAAACACTAAAACCGTTATTTTTTCATTTAACCAAAATTTTTATGAAACGATCACCTCTGTCTCGTGCGTTGACGATTAATTTCTGCGTTGACCTAGTCAGAGATAATTGATGGGCCTCTTTTGAGAATAAACCAGTATCGTGATATCACTGATATGTTTTCTGATTATATAGCTGATTGTTGCAAAATTTTCTAATACTGATGTGACATCCAGATGATTGTGTTCGGATGCGTTGAAGCGACTTCAACATGGTTTTCCAAGTTTTGTTTCACATATATGTGTAGTAAAATTGATAAATTACTTTCAAAATATTCTCTTTATTCAAATAATCTATATCCTTATAGTATATTATATTATATTGATCCATTTAAGTGGCTTGTACTTAACTTTCCCTCATCTAAGCAACACACCCGAACTTGTTTTGGTTGACGTGTCGTGAGGAGCTGAATGTTACTTCTCAATAGCAAAATATGAAACACTTCAAAACATGTGATCGTGTAAAAAATTAATTAGAAAGTCAGTTATATCATAAGAAGTTGAATTTAAACGTCAAGTCATCAGGAGCGTGACTAGAAGTTTTTATATATTTAAGTTATTTAACTAGGTAGTTGAAGAATGAAGTTGTTGAACAGTTCTAAATTTATCCTATTCCTCCTTACTTAGAGTTAGACCTGAAGTCCTGAACTGACCTAACCTCTTAGCTCTTACTAGTTACTACAGTATTTAGTTAGTAGTTAGTCTACCACTAAGCTGAAAATCTTTATATATTTGTCAAAAACTTATTGTTTATGAGTTATTTATCATTTTATACTATATATTACAGGGCTGGCAATGATTAAATCAAAATGATTAAATCATGTGATTAAATCACTTGATTTTTTTATAAAAAAATCATGATTTTTTTATTTTTTTGATTTTTTCATGTATTTAAAAATATTGAGTGGCAGTCTTTAATTTATATTGAGGTATTGTTATTCATGGTTTAGTATAAATGTACCTACTATGAATGACAAATTGGTATTTAAACTTGTTGCCTCTAGTATGTATTAGGTTCCATTGTTCCAATAATTAGAATGTTTTTGGTACTGAGGCTAAGTGAGGCATCAAGTGTTGCAATACCTACATTGTATGTAGCTAGCAGCTTGGCTAATTATTATAAGGCTATAAGTAGTCTAACTATTTGACTATTTGTTGTATATTGATTACAATATACAATTTAAATGTGTTAGCTAGCTTATAAAGGGTGGGACAGAACTGATTGAACAGTTTTGAGGTGAAATAAAAGTATAATGGAGGTACATAAAGAAGAAAGTTTATTTTCCTCATGATTAGCATAACATACCATTTAAAATACTTATGTTTTGAAAACAATATCAGGAAGATGGGGTTTGTTAGCTGCATCACACGGAAGTTTCCTACAGTACGTTCACACATATGGCAAGGTATGGCATAGTGGCAAAGCAGAGAGTTTTTTAGACTCTCCTTCAAGTTCATTTTTGAGTCCTATAAGTAGACCAGTAAAGTATCCTGGATACCAGCATTATCATACTTAAGAAATTGGTTTAAATTTTGAGTAAATGAAGAAATTAAAAATGAACTGATTCTAAAAAAGCTCTGGTTTGTCACTATGAGGTATGGCCATAACCTCTGCTGCAATAATCCGTTCCCTTAGCTGTGGTAGGGTGTGAGGGCAACTTCTGAACCTCTTTCTTTTAGATGTCCCCAAAGAAAAAAATCGCAAATGCTCAAATCAGGTGACCTCACAGGCCACTGTAAATCACCCCTCAAACTCATAGACACCAGATATCCGGGAAACAGGCGTTTCAAAACATTGAGTGATATTCGGGCTGTGTGAGCTGTAGCCCCATCCTGCTGGAACCACACGTCTCCCAATGCTTCATTTTCAACAATGTTTTCCATCATGGCTGCAAGGAATTTTGCAACATTGCAGCATAGCAATCAGAATTCACTGTCATGGTTACTCCCTCCTCTGAGAATGACTCAAACGACCAACAGTGTGTTGGAGCCAATGGCCCCCATCTTCCAGATATTGTTTTCAAAACATAAGTATTCTAAATGGTATGTTATGCTAACCTCTAGGAAAATAAACTTTCTTCTTTATGTACCTCCATTACACTTTTATTTTACCTCAAAATTGCTCAATTGGTTCTGCTCCACCCTGTATATTGAGAGGTTGAGATTGTATTCCACTGTGCAGAGAGTGAACGAAGATTTAAAGACCTACGGCGACGCATTATCGGCAAAATTTTCGCCTTCAGAAGATCTTGCCGACACATTTAGATTGAAATTCTTGCATTTAATATATTTCTCAGTCTTCAGCCAACTATTTAGAAAAAAAGTAAGGTTTCCGGTA